TGGAAAAAATTCGCGAAAATAGCCTTTTTTTTAGGTGCTCAGAGTAGAAGGTCCCCTTAACGTGTACCACCGGTGGTACAAAGCGCATGGAACGTGTTAATATTATAAGAATAATTGATTTGTTTCATTTTCCTAATTAATATTATATTCACATTCCTCTCATTGTTTTCCCTTAAATATTCCCTTCATGTTATACTTCACATAATGATACTCGATTTATTTTGTAGTAACTTTAATCATGTACATTCTTTCAGTCATTTTTTTGACGTGTAGTGCGGTCTGTTTGAACACGTTCAGGTCGCGGTCGCGTTCGCTATAAAAAACTTTGTTTATATTTTTTTAAGGGGTTAAATATATTTTGAAATATATATATTTATTTAATAAGGTTTATTTTAGTATAAAAACAAAATTAATTGCCAAGAAAAGTAAACCGAAAAATTGTTAAATTAATAAAAAAAATAGAAAAAAAATTCGGCTCATCTGGAGAAGGTATGATTTATGTTCGGAATTAACAAAAGTTTAAAAAAGAAAAAAAAAGTTAAAAATAAAATATGTGAAAATGTGAAAAATTTAAAGTTTTTCCAAAAGAAAAAACTAAAATGTCTTATAGAATTTAACTTCATATATTTTTTATATTTTTTTTTCAAAAAGTACATTTAAAAACAAAAAATTAAAAAAAAAAACGCCCCGATAAGTACCTATATTTTTGATGAAGTGTTTTTTAACGATGTTAAAAATGATAAAAAAGTTTCAGCAAAATCAAAAAGGGGGTCAGGGTCAAAAGTGGTCAATTTGACGTGGAATGCCCTATTTATATAACATATAACACATAGTATAAACTTATGTATATCCTAGCATTGATTTTAATCTTTGTTCGTTTTCATAGAAATCCCGACTTGCCTTCTCATTAAAGGGTTTCCCTTCTTGCTCCATGCGAGCGACTTCCGACCAAGCAGCAGGATGCTAATTATAAACTTGGGGAAGAATGAAATGATCTTTTAGTAGAGAGAAACAAGCGAGCGCAAGCGTCCTTACTTCCTTGAGAATATTTTCAGCTCGTTTCTGCGATAGTTATTATTATTATTTTTTATTATTATTGTTATTATTATTATATTTATTATAATTATTATTTTTATAGCTGCTTCACGCCGTCGTTGATAATACTTCAAGAATTAGGTTTCGTGAGATTTAATTATGGACCTTATTTTATTTTTTTGTTATCTAGGAGTTATTAAGACCAATTGTCCGCTAATTTGCTGAACCTTTATTCTATTCCTAATAATTATAAATTATTGACATCAATCTTCCAAGCACAGCAGCATTTTAATGTACTCACGTGAATTACTATCCCTCCTGTAATTTGCTTTTTTCTTTACCACAGGAACGATTGATGCGAGAGTAAAAGAGAGATAGAAAAAGGAGAGAAAGCTAGATCAGTTAGCAGCGTTCGGTACGATTGAGTCGTTTGAGCGGTGCCTTTGAATCTTTCTTATCTGCCATTTTTTACCTTGGATAAGGGTGTACTCTTGGTGTTCAATAATGAGCGTACCAAATAGTATAATCATTTGATAGTAGTTATATATTTTACAAAAATAAATAGCCGACGTTCAACGTCCTTCCATTCGTACAGGATGCTTCATATATACAATTCTGCACTTGGCAATATTATTCACATTTATACGATATAAGATATTTATCTATATAACCTACGCGTACGTTCAACTTAAGCTACGAATTTTTCTATCTTTTTAATTTACATTTTTAATGACAATGCCAGTCAAAAGCGTTACATACGTAGATATGTAAGTACGTGCATGCGAACGTAGATCATTTTCTTTAGTATTATCATTAAATTTGGATATCGATAAGTTAACTTTAAAGGAGTCTCAAAGGATTATTATACGAAAAGATAGAACGATCGCGATTAGAGAGAAACTGCTTCTTAGATTGGTTGAACTCCCGTAAGTCTGTTCGTTCAGAATCCGACATTGCGATTCTCTAAAATGTTTAACGTTTCCTTCGGAGTCTCTTGCCAGTACGCAAAGCTCGTACTTGGTTCTTGATCCAGGTAGATCTTGAATCTTATACGATCTGGCATTGTAAACGAGGTCCTTTTCGATCGTTGACTTGCTACTTCCCGTCTCTCGTACAACTACATAAAAGTCGCCGATGTCTTCTCGCGATGTCACGTACCACGTAGCCTTCCAACTCTTATCTTCTTTATCGCTGAAACAATTGTGTTGTTTATTTTATTTTATTCTTTTTTTAATATTATTATTCTAAATAAATAAGAATCATTTTTAAAAATTGACGTACTATTCGATATTTCTATACTTCACATCAGGATTGATATCCAATTGTTCATTCTCATATATGTCCCTAGTACTACATCCCATTAGATCTTCTGTGATTTCAGAAAGAAGTTTCTCTGAAAGGAAACTTGGACTTTTACATGTTACGTTAGACCATTCTGCAGGTATTTCACTGAATGTGTTCAACCATCTCTTCAGTGGTCGAACGTAACAATCGCAATTCAATGAATTTCCTAAAAAATATTATGAATGTAATATAATAAATTTATTAATCCTATAAAAGGTATAATAATGTATACTAAATTATAGGTTGAATGTACCGAAATATCGAATTCTCGTGCCATTTTGAATAATCTTCATGTAACTCTCATCGAAGACGCTAATTTTATTCATTTCTAAATCTAAAAGCATTAAATTTGGCATCGGTACGATTTTATACATTGGCAAATAAGTTAGGTGATTGTGACTTAGATACAAATAAGTTAAATTATTTGGTGGTTCAAAAACTTTTGGTTCTGAAATATCACTGATGTCATTGTAAGATAAATCCAATGACTGCAAAGCTGTAAGATTACCGATGACATCTGAAATAGAATAAAATCAAATTTATTACACGTAATATAAGAGTATCAATATATGATACTTATTTTAGGTAAACTCTTTGCACTTGGAAATTATTTTCATATTTATTTCCATCAACTCGATAATGACTAACAAAATCGATAGTGAAAATATTTTCTTTTATTTTATATAAATGTTATGGTGCCGTTTTATTGTTTTATTACTTTTTATTTTATTTTTTTTTATGCTGACAGTGTCTGTATTTCGAATTACTAAGGTTCTGTTAGTATTCCGAGTACAAAGAGTTAATTTTATTTAAGACTATTACTTACAACGCCGAATTTCATTGATATTGTTATGACTTAGATTTAAATATTGAAGCTTTTTTCCACCGATTGTTAATTCGAACGTTACTACGGGCATTGTATTGTATGAAAGGTCCACTTCTTTCAATCTGTATGGAATCCAAGGATCATTAGGTAACATTTTTCTCGTGATGAAAGAAATTTTATTATGACTAAGATTGACTCGTTCTAATGAAAGGCAATCATCTAACAATCCGTGAGTTTTATTATCCAATCTTTCTAATTTGTTATAGGATAGATCGAGCGTTCTTAAAGAAACTAAACCTTGGAACGCCCCGTTTGGTATGTAACTGATATTATTGTTTGTTAAATTTAATGTCAATAATTGCAGTAAACCTTCAAAAGCACGATTACTTATATTGTAAATGTGATTATTGGCAAGATTCAATTCGAAAACGATCGGTAGACGACCAAATGCTGCTTTGCCGAGTTGTGTTAAATGGTTGTCCTGTAAAATATTATTTATATTTATTACAAAATTATCTCGGTATATCGCAAATACACGTTAAGAAAACACGTTAAGAAATTTTCTTAATTTATCATGATTTAGAAAATGTTAATAGATACTTATCAAGAGATTATTAAATCAGATAATCGTAATTATATTCTTTTATTATTACTAAGAAACGTTCAAGTTATTTTGAAAGTTCAAATGCGACTGACCTGCAAGTAGAGATATTGCAAACTGCTCAAAGTACTTAAGGCTTCCCACGGTGGTACAGATATATTATTCGCTTGCAGATTCAAGGTCCTCAAGGTCAACAGGTTTTCGAAGCTCCCATGGCGAAGATTATCGCCTAGTCGATTCCTCGAAAGATCCAAAGAAAGGAGAGCGTTCATCGTAGGCCATACTTCTAACGTTGGTATTTCTTCTAGCAAATTTTCTGAAAAGTCCAAGTGGCCCAACGAGTTTGGCAATTGGAATATTTTGTTCAGTCGATTACTCTTCACGGTTATGGTTCTACAAATTTATATGCATTTATTTTGACAAATATGACAAATATTCTTCAGGAAATTTTATTTAAATTAGACTAGAAAAAAAAGGTAACTACCTGCAACTGGCTAATCTGGTTAAACTACCACGTGCTATATCGTTGAGTTGATTGTAGCTCATATCCAATTCGAGTAGCGTCGGTAATGGACCGAACGTTGATGGTTTTATCTTTTCCAAAGAATTGTGAGCAAGGTTTAAAAATCGTAAGCTGAAGAGCGTTTGAAAAACTCCATTATGTATATCTGAGAGATTATTGTAAGACAAATCAATGGTGTGAAGCTCGTAAAGCTTCGGAAATGTTTGACGTGGTACCGAATGTATCACATTATGAGATACGTTGAGAACTTTTAGTCCAGTCATGTTGTGCAATGGTACCTGCAATCATTTCAAATATTACCTATTACCGTTTATTTTATTTTCATAATCATTTTAACGAATTGTACATATGCAAAGTGACTTTACTATTATCATGATGAAGCACCATATGTTAAATAATCATATGTATAACGTTATTTCTTATATCCATATGTTACGACAATTTCTATTCCTTGATTCTACACAGTTTTATGACGTACTAGCTGTTCTCGTAATAATTCAATTTAGAGAAAGTTAAATTATATTTAAAAATAAAACTTGTACTTATTTGCGTATTTAATTCGTTAAAAGATTATTATATTATAGATGTTTCTCTAGTTCGCTTTGACAGTCGATTAATCTCTTTCTTTCTCTCTTTTTCTCTCTCAGAATCTCATAAATCTTATAATTCTTATAAGTCAAGCAACTTTATTTACCTGACCCAACGAGGTGAACAGATTGTAGCTGAGTAGCAGTTCGGTAGCGTACGTTGAACTATCGAAGGAATATTTCGAAATATTCTCTAGTTTGTTGTGACTTAGATCGAGTGAAGTGATATTGGCGCAGTTCTCAAATGCTCCAGGCTCTATCGTTGCAATTTCATTATGCGATAGATTCACTTTCGCAAGGAAGAGATCCTTAAATGCTAATTTCTCTATAGTTGTCACGAAATTCTCAGAGACGTCTATGAGCTAGGAAAAGTGTAAGAAAAAAAGAAACAAAAGGAAATTAGATATGAAAAGAACAAAAAAAGGGAAAACTAATTTATCCTCGATAATTCTATACCTTCGAGCTCTCTGGCGTTTCCTTTATTACGATATTCGTTTAAGTATGACTCACATTCATATGCGTTTTTTGTGCAATGATAATTAAAGAGTACTGATAGCAATCTCTCTAATACACATCGAAAAGTGAAAGTGGTCGAAGACGCAGGCGGAGACAATATACAAGTTGCTCCGACACACGAGAGAAACGTATACATTACGACAAGTTTTGATAGCAAAACTACGTTGCATAATTGCATTTACGTTACTATCGTACACACGTGAAATCATATATTTCATATATTTAATCATAAATGAGATATTTTAATAATTATTATTTAGAAAAGACATACCTCGGCAAATTGTAGCTGATGGAACATCTGATAATCGATCTTCTTGATGAAATTTCGCGACAAATCGATGGTACCGATTCTGGTAATCGAACCGAAAGTACCACGGCCTACTTCGTTAATCTGATTGTTACTTAAAAACAAACGTCTTAGGAAGCGCATGCCACGGAATGTATTTGAATCGAGTTTCCTAATCTTATTGTGACTTAAATTAAGAACCTTCAAGACAGAATTTCTTGCAAATGTTCCCCTGTAAAAAAGAAACAACGCTGATAGAAAATAAAAATTTATTATTTTGTATTTTATTTTGAAAAATTGAACGAACCTCTTCAAGTCTGAGATAGCATTGTGAGAAAAATTACACCATCCCAATTTGGTAAGATCGGCAAGATGAGACCCGTCCAATTTGTCGATCAAATTGTAAGACAAATCGAGAAATTCAGTATCTCTGAGTCCTTTAAATTGATTTCTTTTTAAATCTTTGATTTTATTGTCATGAAGATCCAACGTTTTCATTTTTTTCAAAGGTTGTAATGCTTCGACTGGTAAGGAGGATATAGTTCCTGTAATATAATCGATGTTAAACCGAACGATCGTAAAACGTTTAATCTTAATAACGATATCTCTTACCGTTACTGATTTCTAATTTTTCTAATTTAGCAGCTGCGGCACTGTCGGCAAAACTATTCCCTGGTAAAATAACGATACGATGTCCAGCAATACTTAAAATACTTAGATTACCCAGAATTTGCAATGCTTCTCGTGGGAACTTTTCCAATCGACTATTTATCAGATAAAGTTCTTGAAGAGTTCTGTTAACACCAAGAAAACTGTGTTCCTCGATTAATTTCAAAGGTGTGTCAATAAACTTTAGGACTCTTACATCCAATGGATAAAGAGCTGGCCCATAGAAACGTCCTAAATATTAATGCGAATTTAGTTAAAACATTAGATTACGAAAATCAAAAGATCCTAAAGATTACAAAAATAATTCTTACCGATATTGCATTTATACAGAACCAATTCTTCGATAGGCATACCCTCGTTCCCCAAATTAGCAAAAGCCAAACTCAAGCTGGCTAAATTAGTATTTTCACAATGAATGTAAAGTCCTCTGTCACTTCCACGAACACAAGTACAAGGATAAATATCAGTGGGTACTTTGGGACACGTAAATCTTGGCCCAGGTGGAATATATTCGCCTATGATAGGCAGGGCTAAGCCCAGTACCAAAGGGACCAGCAGCATTTCTATAATGATTTATCTTCGTAAATATAAATTATTACAATTATTATATTTAATAATATTTCACATATTGCAAATTATCATGAATTTGTCATTGTCAACAAAAAATACAGATTGTCATGCTATTTTATCAAACTCGTTAAAAATTTTCACTTCGTTGAAACGAAAGACGATAAAAAATGTATAAGATATTCATACAAAAATCTGAAACGTAAATGTCTGCCAGTAAAGCTTTCCATTGAAGGACATTTAATGTTTAAAATTAATTCTTGCATCATGATTCATAAAAGAAATAACATATTCAAATTCTCTATCCCACACGATCAAGAGGTGACTAACCGTTGATATACGGATGGTAGTCTAAAAATGCTTTTGAAAAGTCTTTTATACTTCACATTTTTTGTTTCTTTTTTTTTTTTTTTTTGATGACCCGCCTTATGCGGTTGATTCACTATTCGTGTATCTACCTTTATCGAAGAGATAAAAATATCGTGGGCATAGAAGTAAGTGGCTTCTGCTAGCTCTTCTTAACTCGTTGAGTTAATTAATTCGTATATGTAGGTAGATATGTATATATATTTACCTGACATTTATAACGGAAAAAAGAGACGGATAAGAAAGAAAAACGATCGAGAGATCAACGTCCTCGAATATAAAGGACAAAGGATGATTATTTTTTAATATATTATTTATCTTAATCATACTCATGATTTAAATATTAGACATTTTGCTATTTATAAAGAACGCGTGAGAGATTGATCGTAATCATGATGAAAAGAAATAAAAAATAGCAGAAATACAAAAGATATATGTTTATCGCGATAAAATGGACTTTGTTAAATGTGAGAGGGAAGAAGAGCTTTTAAATCTAATTGTAAACCTTTCACACGACAAGAGGATGAAATATTTAACTCGATGTGAAAAGATAGAATCGCACGCTTTGAACGAGTTTCGGTCAAGGTTCAAACGAAATATTGTTCATGTGTTGCCACTTTCGTCAAATCAAACCATTTCATCGTAAATTTCTTTCTTTCTGTATAATATAACTGTAAATACTTAAGCGAGATGAGCCAGCTGTGTAACCGCGTGTAAATTTCCATAGAAAATGAACCGTTAGCGAAGTAGTACGTTCGTAGATAGATACGTAAATATGTTTGTGATCAAGATAAGGAGAGATACCACGAGAAAAATGCGTGGGTTTGCGCTGATTATCGCGAATATATGTATTTTCTCTTTTGTAAAGGACGAGTGAACATCGTTCGTTCTAAATTCATTTTTCTCCAAGGTTATAGAATGTTTATTAATTAGTTTGTTAACGGTGTCGAGTGTAGAATTATTTACATAGACATACCATGAGTATTTCCACTATAAAGTTAAAATAATTGATATTTGTTTGGAATACAAATTCTTATCCACAAAACACCACTTTAGGATTATTAAATTTTCAAATTAATATTTATCTTATTGCAGAAAAACATTTTATTGTTAAAAAATTATAATTTTACTTAAATGATCAAAAATTTGTCTCACGTGGGCATTTGTATCTACGTAAAATATTATAGAAATACGATGATTATTTTTGTAAATGGTACTTAGCTGATCCTTCTTTGTATTTTATAACGCTTTTCAGACGATACCAACTTTCTTATCAGCTATGTACAGTTTTACTTTTCTTATAATTAAATGCTCTTTTGCAATAAAATTAATATAAATTTAAAAGTTGAATAATTCTAAAATATGTTTCTGCGTATAAGAATTTAGTAATATTGTTTTGCAAAAAAAATATTAATTAATAAATTGACACAGTGAGAATTCCAATACTTCTGAGATTCACTATATATACAAAAATATACATATAAGTTATTTTGAACCAGTTAAAATTATTAACAGTGAAAATATATAAGTTGTTCGAATGCTCGAACGAATCATTAGGAGCAGAACGAATATCGTAGATATTAATGACAGAATACGGCGTTGTTTTAATTAATAACAATAGTAGCGTATAATAAAAATAATCGAAGGAATCACTGACCTGGTAAACGTAACAACGCATACATATATATTTTATTGTACGTCTAGTAAATAACCGTGTAAGAAGGCGAAAAGAAAGGCACGATGATCTAGTTTTACGGTTAGTAAGTGCAACTCTCACAACGTTGGATGCGAAACTACGTTAGATACTACAATCAACGCGATGAATAAAATACAAAGTAATTACCTACAATATATTATAAATAATAAATATACAGGTACATCTCTGAAATATTTCTCATAATGAATAAATAAATACTATCTATTTATTAATGTAATAAAAATAATAATTTATGCATTAACTTTTGTATTGTATGTCATCGTATTGAAAAGAAATGTTATTGTAATTTACATTATAACAAGAGCAAGAATTTGGGTTATTGAATCAGTTCTATTTTGGTGTTATCATTCAAGTTTACGATATACATATCGAATAACGTCTACAAGAATATCAAATCTCCTTTCACTTGTTTGAGTTGACCTCGCTTGGTCCTTGTTCAACCAAGCAATGGACCGAATCGAATCCGTTCCGTGATAACTTCGTTGCTGGTATTAAAAATATATCGAATTAATCGGTGTTATTGACGTAATCAAACGGGATTTGACGTTGTCACACGGATCTTGTTTTTGCAAGAAATACGTTTCAAATAACTGTTCCCGAGCAGAACGAAAATCAAACAAGCTCGAAGCTTGTAGATTATTAAAGAAAACTCTCATAATTGATTTTAACGGTGAGAAAGTACGTTCGAGAATGAAATTGAGAAAATGACGATTCAAAGTTAGCTCGATGGTTCGTGGGAATTTACGTCTTCCTACTTTCGATGTTCCTTAAGTCTAAAGACAGTTATAATGAGAAAAATTCTACGCCACGCTCCACTTTCTGACGATTTCTAATAACCGATATTATTACTTTAATCGTTGTTGTCATCGTTAGATGAAAAGAAATAGTAGATCCTTATGTAAACGATACATTTTCTCGATTTCGTGAAAATAATCTCGAAAAAAAGAAAAAAAAGAAAAAACAAATGATTTTAAGATTCTCTTTTTAGTTGATGGAATCCAAGGAGATTTCCATTTTACTGGTCGTCCTTGCGGTTCGCTCGATCAAAATATTCTTTCTCCGTGTAACGGATATAGTATTGGTTACAAGGTAACAAAGAGAAATATTTTTCGTTTGAAAATTAACGTAAATTCTCTATATAAACTAGATGTTCTAATTTTCTTTTTTTTAATGTCTCAAAATTTAAGTTTAAATTCTAGATAAATATAAAAGATTTATGATCGAGTTCACGTTTTATCCACTCATCGATGTCACCAGTGAGACAGTCACAGGAGAATTGAATGGATAAGGCGTGCAAAAGGCACGTGGAACGATCGCTTATCTCAAGAGCACGTGTGTAGTACCTGTCAAACGCAACGACCCCGGAGTACGTTTCTGTGAAAGTTGCGCGGAAACAATCGATCTAATTCGAATGAAATCACCATGACGTTGCTAAACCCATTGTTTTTTCTCTTTTGTTTTTCCTCTGTTTTTTTTTCTTTCTTTCTTATTTCGCTGTCAAATAAAATTTCCTTTCATCGATCTAATTTCACTATTGACGTTTAATTCACGATTGATGAAAACTACCTTGAGTTGACACTTTGCACAGAAGGGATATAATGTTTCGAAGTATCACATGTTCGTCCTTCTTTCGTTTTTTTATTTTATCTTCCTTTTGACATTAGGATGATGAACATATGGATGTATTTATATATATATGTGTATGTAAGAAAGATCAAAATGAAGAAAAGATCAAAGTGTACAAGTCACTATACACGCGTTAGGTTTCACGTCGTGTTTCTTCAAGACATTCTGTGTATGGTTCCTGTATGAAGCTGCCGTGAAAACTGAACCACTACTCGACGCTAAAGAGAAAGGCAGGCAGGCTTAGAGAAGCAAGGCGTTCCTCATCGGCTCTTGATACTTACTGTCCTTTCGTGGACATGCGCCCTTATGGTGCTGAACAACGTCAAACTTTTTATTCTCTCTCAAGCCAACTCGTTTTCTTTCTTTTATTTTTCTAAAAATAAGTTCATTTAGATCATTCGTAGTTTTATCAAAAAACCAGGAACAATATAATAAATTTATTGTACTTTTGTTCTCTATCTCTTTCTCTTTTTTTACTTTTATTATTTTTATTAGAAAATAAATTTTAAATACCTTAATTAATTTAAATACTATTTATTTGAAATGCTTTATCCTGATCTCGCTGAAAATTATTTTTGAAAATTTACGAAGCGCGCGTAGAGGAAAAAGAAAGCTAAATTATTAACCCGTTAAGTCAAGTGAAAGTCATTTTCGATACTCGATCATTAACTCTGCTTTCCGAACCTCCTTGTTTAATAGCGACATCTATTAAATCACAGCAAAGTATTATGTTGCTGATAAATAAATTGAATTGTTCATAATAAAAAATAGTCGTTTATAAGAAAAATAAATTTGGAATAAACGAATTAGATTCACTAGACTTCCATTTTAGTATTTAAAAAAATTAGTCGATCATAAACGAACACAGGAAGTTATTAAATAGAATTACTCGTACGGTAATGTGAAATATGTGGATCTGTTTAGTGATTACATGCTCGTTAAAGTCAATGTATTCTTTAAGTGTCTTAACTAAGAAAGAACGAGCTCTTGCTAACTGCTTGTATAGAAGTCAGCTGCATTGCCAACCGAGAAGCTTCAGTGACACGATCGAGTATCCGTTCTAACCGATTTATACCGAAGAAATCTGTCTCAAGCGATAACTGTCTGACAATTTTATTCAAGTAATCTTTAAATATGGCCAAAAAGAGTGGTTTTTTAATACTGAATATTATATATTGTAAGTAATAACAAAATTATATCAATACGTAGTTATCAATACTTATCGTTTTTGTGCAGTTCTTTTAAATACCACCATCGCCTTACCAACTTTTGGACATGTCGTAAGTAAACTTTTTCAAATTTTCCTTTTAATCATTATTACTTTTTTTTCATTTATTTCTAAAGTTCACAATTATAATTTGTAGGAACGTAATCGTTTAGAAACTTACGAAGATTTATCAGATCGTTTGACTGATTTAGATCTCTTCAACAATTTAACTTTTGAATTCTCCTGTGAGAACAAATTAATTGGTCTCTACGCCGATATCAATTATGATTGTCGAATTTTTCATGCTTGCGATGGAAACGGAGAAGGCTTTCCAATGATTTGTCCAAATAATACTATCTTCGATCAAAGACAACGAGCTTGTAGCGACATTGAAAACGATTGTGAACACGCTTACAAGTGGTAAGCACAAATTTTTAATAATAATTATATTATTTTTTCATTAATGTATTTATTCTAGGTACTATATCAACGAGTTACCTTATTCCTATGAATTGACAGATTTGAATAAAGTAGAATCGATTGAAGATAATATACCCACAGTCGTGCCACTTGCTATAGTTTAAAATCAAATTGATGTATTAATCGAAAACAGTGCACTAGATTTATTTTAAATAAAAACAATTAAAAAGAAAGAATATACGAAGAGAATAATATGTATCTTTTATTAATTAGTAACTCATAATCAAAGAGTAACATTGACAGTCTTAATCTCTACGAAAGAACAATCCTTCTGGTTGTTTGAATATCTATCCTACTGTGTTACATTATACACCATATTAATATTAAAATACTAACGCTTACATTACAATTATTACTCGATTATACGAGGATCATAAAAAAAGATAAATGATAATGCGTCACCCTCCACCATGAAGTCCCATGAAAATAAATATATACCTCGAATCAACAAAACCGCATTGACCATTACAATAAACGCTAATTATAAAGATACGAGGTGCGAACCCATTTTGTCAAATTTATTCTTAAATTAATCTTCGTAACATTAAACAAGAATATTTCTTGTGAAATGATGATGTGAGTAAATATTGTAAAATACGTATTAGCGAAGTTCGTTAAAAGTAATTTATGTTTTTCGAACGTCGATAGAACGTAATTAAACAATATGCGTAAAATTAAACGTTATTAAAGCTAACCCAACGAAAAGGGACGGTTAATAACCGTTCTATTACATCTATAACAACTTGTTAGACAATTATTTATTGTTTTTAGCCATAATAAGGCGCGTAATATCCTTTAGGAGGCCAAACTACACCCGGATCTGTCTTATCGTTGTCGTAAACGTATTTTATTTTCGGTTGAGTGCTCGGTCCAAAGAGTGCTTGACGAATCATTGCAAACATGGCCGAACCTAGAGCCATATTGCTGAGCATCCCGGCCATAGTGGCAGCTGCACGTGCATGAGCAAGCGCCATTTGTATAAGGAAAGAAATAACGAAACTAAGTCCAGGCATCATTTGCATTATCTTTAACTTCATGTCTCGACCTAACTCGATAACAGTATTGGTGATCTTTCTAGGAACAATATCCTCATTAAGATGCGGCAATTGGAGCATCAGTTTCGTACGAATATCCTTCTCAACAACTTTTTCATCTTGTTTTATATTATTCTCGATATCAGAATCGTTCAGTCGATTACCATCGGATCTTTCTATCTTTGTCTCTTGCAAATAAGAATTCGAATATTTATTCACAAATGATTTCAATGTGTTCTTCGTACGATCTTGTCTGTTCCTTGACGTCTGATCGTCCGATTCTTTTTCCAAATCATAATTTAATCGAGCATCCAACGGAATCATTTTCAAATCTTCCGAATTGTTCGTTTCCGACTCGAATGGCACAATGTCTATTGTTTTGTCAAATTCATCAGTAGTTTTTCTTTTTAGATGATCTATTTTAAAAGATTCGAGTCTATTCATGAACTTACGATTCAATCGAGTACCAAATAGAACCTCAAATGCACTATAAGCATCTTCCAAATTGAGATGATTTTTCGAACCGCTTTCTGAATTATCTGAGATATTTGATTTTATTTTATCGAGAAACATGCTTATTATTTCTTCATCGTTTATCGATCGATCTTTTGTTTTCTTATCGTCATCGTTGTCCTTTAAAAATTGATAATCTATATCTTGAAAATTATCCTTTAAACTTCTGTCCCTTTTATCTTTGTCCTTTTTATTCTTATCCGAATCTGGTCTCTGATCCAAAACCTCTTCCATGATATCACTGATGATTGTGAGAATACTCGGCAAATTCTTATTATCTTTTATCTTTGTACCTCTACCTTCACGAAAACCTGTAAAACTTATACTGACTTCACCGTTACCATAGCCTTTGACCTTTAGAAAACCCCAATTGGTTTGGAACTTCTCTTCAGCTAATCTTTTATAGGAATCTAATAAGAAATTCTCGATCGATTCCTTTCTGGATAATAATTCTTTCTCAAATTCCGACGTAGACATTCCAAAGAATTGTTCAACCTCTGTCTCTACTGATCTTCCAAAAGGACTAAAATTTGACAATGACGGTAAATTATTATATATAACTGGCCACACGAATATACCCATACATCTGATAAAACTCAAACTGCGAATACATTGGACGACTCTCGTCATGAAACTTCGATTCGTTGTAATTGCGTTCAAATCTTCTATTTTCTTTAAAATCTCGTATTGATCCGCTGTCAAGGAATCTCTTATGGTAGAATTTAAAGTGTCTACAAAATATTTTTTGTCATCACTTGAATATCCATCGACCGTTAAATTATTTAATTTCGAAACCTGAATTAGTAATTGCAAAAATTTCGATTCGTCTATATTTGGAAAAGTTGATTCAGACTTCTCCGAAGATTCCTTTTCATTTTCTATCGTTTCTGGATAAGATCTGAAAAGATCTACTACGCTCCTTCGTTTTCTTACTTTCTTATTCGACAACTCAGATTCCAGTTGTTCCTTATCAGACAAATTGATTTTTTCCGTAGATATATCTATGAGAGTTCCAGACGGTTGACCGGGATATCCAGGGATTATGCCTTGATCATCTGCAAATAAAAAAAAGTCAAAGATCGATAGTTTGAATAGGTATGAAAAATTATTATTTATTTAATGAGTAAAATAGATTCACCTACTGACGCTGTGGATGATAGTAGTAATGGCTGATTTGCCTTTTTTGAATCAGGCGTTTTAATCGACGCTTGTTGTACAGTAGATAATATTTCTTTCGGATATTCCATCGTCTTAACAGCTACTGGTAGATTTCCAAATTGTGGTAGATTAAACAATGGATCCATTGTTTCTGGTATTTGAGGAAGTACCTGTGAAATACCACCCGGAAAAGAAGGGATACTAGGTGGAAGTGGTAAGTTAGGTATTTCAGCCAATGGTAAGTTACCGGGTAGTTGAGGAACTCCTGATATGCCTGGTAGTTGACTGATATCAGAAAGCTGAGAAAAATAGTCGCCAAATTGAGGAAAACTTGGTAAAGATGGGAGGTGGACTTTCAAAATAGGCCAACTAACGTGTTGACTGCAGTCAACAAAATTATTAGTACGCATACATTCTAACAATTTTTTAACGTATGTTGGTCTTACAGGATCTGGTAAACCTTGTTCGACTAGTCTGATAATATCGACTTGTTGTTTTGAAAACATAGTTTGTATTATGGGATTATCGATGTCCAAATAAGAATGTTCAAGTCGTGGTTTCGAGTTTTTAATAAGTATTTCTTCTAAAATCTTTTCTATTATATTCTGAAATTCGTTTTCTTTATATTCTATTGGAGTTTTCTTGTTAACAAGGTCTGATCTATCCGCTTCGGATTTGAAATCCGAAGTACCCAAATTTAATGGAAACTGTAACTTTGTTCTAGGTATATTTTGTGAAATCCCAAATTCAGGGAAACTTGGCAATCTGGGGAAAAACTGATGAACTGTTGGCCAAGTGATATCTTTAGTGCACTCTAAGAAAGTATTTTTTTGAATACACATGGTTATTCTCTTAGTGAAAGCAATACGTTCGGATTCAGGTAAAAGGCACTCTGCTGTTTGAATAATTATAGATTGTCTATCCGTAAAATATTGAGATAAGTCTTCCTTTTTCATCGAAGAATCGATGCGTGGTAAATTAGGCGTAGAGATTCTTACTGCTTCCAAAATATTCAAGATTATAGCTTCAGGATGTTCGGTGAAAATCGGAACAAATCTTGTGTCTGTTATTGTTACTGTTGCATCTCCATGTTGTCCGGTTTTAACATTTGTTTCCGAAAGATGAGAAGCTTCTGCACTCGAACTATCTTCCGTTAGATTGTGCGACGGAAGAGGAGCAATAGGATTTCCACTACTTGGTGCGTTTGAAAATATACCAAAATTTGGAAAACTCGGAACTCCTGGGAAATAATCAATCAACGTAGGCCACAGAATGTCCTTCGAACAAAGTATAAAATTGTGTTCGTTAATGCATTTCAGCATACTATCTACGAATTCAGCTCTGGCTGATTCTGGAATCAAATTCTCCGTAATTTGAATAATTAATTGTTGTTGAGAGTTTAATGTATCGTAAAAAAGTTGAGTTTTGGTAGTTTCTTTTGATGATGCATTAACCATATTCGCAGATGATTCTTGAATCTTTTTTAAGATGTTGAGTATGACGGACTCAGGATGCTCCGTATATATTGGAACAAATCTTGTACCAGTTATACTAATTACAGGAACATTACTTCCTTGAGAAATTGTTTTGGAAATAATCTCATTTTGACCAGACGTTCTAGACATGATATTTTCTGTGGACTTTCCTAGAGCATCATAATTAATCGGTTGTTGAATATTTTCCGTCGAGTTTTGCAAAATTTCTTTGTTCTTCATCAAACTATCCGAAAATTCGTTTGATGAATTTTGTATTTCTATTTGCGAAAATTCTGGCAAATTTGGTGCGTAAAATGCGATCGATGGCCAGATGATACGTTCTGTACAATTCATAAAATCGTTTCTATCTTGAAGGCATGTAAGAACTTGTGCTAGGAAGGTTGCACGAGCGGACGGTGGAAGAATACTTTCGGATAATTTTAATATTTTAAATTGTTTATCCGTTAAAGTCGTCAGGATTATAACGTTTCCAGAAACGGTTTGAGAAGGAATCTTATTCGTGCTTCTTAAGGAATTTCGAACGTGTTCCAATGTTTCAATGATTTTTGATTCCAAATTCAAATTAGGATTATCAGCTTTTTTATATAATGTGTTAGAACTAGGCAATTCGGTAGGTATCTGTGGAATCTGTTGTACAGGTACCACCTGTGAAATTTGTTGTGGTACAGTTATATTCGCAAAACTTGGTAGAAATCCAAAAAGGTCCGTAAAATATGGAGGAAAACTTGGCAAACTTGAGAAAAAATTGGAAAAGTCTGGGAAGAACGAAGAAAAATCTGGAAGCTGTGAAGTAAACTGTTTAACGGTAGGCCAAGTCGAATATTTCATACAGGTTAAATAATTATACTCTTGTATACACCGAACAGTTTTTTGAACAAATTCTGGTCGATGAGAGATTGGGATAAATTCTTCAGCCATTTGTATGGTTATTAATTGATCTTGAGGAATTACGGTGGCATAAAAATTGGTCGGTTCCTCAAAGGGAATCGATGTTGATTCTACTCTTGGATGATATTCTTTTAGAGTATTTTGCAAAACGTGTATAATCACTGTTTCTGGTGTAGGCTTTCTCATTCTGGTGGCATCGGAATCAACGACTTCGGGAAGTTCTCCGACCTCGTCAGAAAAGCTAGGATACGGAACGATCGGATATTCGGGTACTATAGTAATGCTTGGATACCAAGTTTGATAATCTGGAAAGAGTGGTAGACTTGGGATGTATCGTCTCATCATGGGCCAAGCGAAGTATCTTAAACAGCTGAGATATTCAAATCTTCGTACACAGGAAAACATTTTATCAGTATATTCACGACGTAAATCAAAAGGTAAGAGTTTCTCGCCTAATTGAAGAATCTCTAGTTGTCCTGGTGTCAATAATTTTTGGAATGTTTCATTCTTCGAGTCGATTAAGTATGGTAGCTTGTCTACGTCACTGTGTGATTCTAAAGCCTGTTTTAATATGGAAAGTATGACTGATTCAGGTGTTAAATATCTTTTTTGATAGACATTGGAAGACGACCTATCGACTTTTTCTCGATTACCTTGAAAGAGGTCAAGTAAATTTATTTCTATAGGAAAATTAGATGCAAAACCTTCATTGTTCAATAATGGAACGTTATCAACTAGGATCGGTAATACAAAGATCCTCAAGCAATTTAACACACTGAATCCCGTAATGCACTGGAACATGTTATTAACGAAAGATTGTCTTTGTTCTACTTCGATCAATTGTTCTGCACACTTGATTATATTTTTCTGAGTTTCAGTCAAATTTGTTTCGTTCAAAAGATTGGAATAAGATTGGTTCAAATTTGTCAATTTTTTTCTGGATACAAAATTTCTCAACGTTTCCAACAATTCATTTTCATTAAATCTCGACATTTCTGGAAGTACATCGATCTCATTTTCTTTTAAATATTTAAGGAAGGTACGATTTTTTATTTGTTCTTGAAGTAATATTGCTTGGTCCTTTAATATTTGAAGACGATAATCTATTATATACTGAGAATCTGTATTTGGTAAATTCGGAAAATTACTGCGTTGATTTCTAACGTCGTCAACGTTATCCCCGGTTACTATCACATCATCGATTCCAAGTAATTTTACTGGTTGAAGAACTTTAACTTCATCAACATTTTGCTTATTGTTTACATTATCGCTTACCAATCCTAATGCATCGTCACGAATAGATATCAACTTTTTAATTTGGCTATCAACGATCGATATCTCATCGCTATCAGGTGTTTCGGAACCTTCCTCAGCACTCAAATACACTGTTGAGCTTTTGTGCTTGAACTTACCTCGAGCTTCTTCTAAGTACCTCTGGTCTCTTTTCGATTCAATTGATTCACTGATTATTTCTGGACTTTGTTCTTTCTCTCGATCAATTTTTGAAACGTTTTCCTCATTGGCTACCAAACTTCGAAGATTATTACGTATATCTTCCTTTATCGTTAAAATATTATCAGTATCTACTTTAGGAACCTCATCTTTTGGACTAATTAGTTCAACCCTACTGTCTATAGTAATATCATCGTTTATCTTCACATCATCAACTTTAGAAACCTCAACTTTTTGATTAATTAATTCAACCGGAGTGTCTAAAATAAAATCATCGTTGTTCTTAACATCATCAACTTTGATAGCCTTTTTTTGCGAACGTTCACCTTTGACTAATCCGTTATTCTGATCTGCATTGACCTTTGAAGATTGATCATTACTTGGTAGTTCGATCTCGTCCACGGATTCTACTTCAGCGTCAAATCTACGAATACCTTCGTTCTTTGTGACATCACCTTCGGTATTACCGATAATAAAACTCGAATCTGTTTCTTGGACTGCATTTTTAATGGGCAACGTAAGATCGTTTCGTCGTCTTTTTTTAGCAATAGAAGTCTCATCCTTTTCTAGATTCTTTTCCATTTTCTTGACCTCATCATCGATTAATTTCTTTTCATCATTTTCGCGACGATCGATCGATCCTAAAAGCTTTTCTTGACTCGTTTTATTAAGTCTTACCTGATCGATCTCCTGAGCTGACGATTCCAAAGTTTTCTTCTCGAGGTTGTCAATATCATCATGGGATACACTTCGCGAAGTAACACCATGTAGGAGGAAAAATATTAGGATGAAGAAAATAAAATAATAGCTTTGAGCAACACTATAAAAGATGCTCGTACTTGGCCGTAGGCGTTGAGAGTTGAGTGCTCTCATGGTCGCGGTCGAGAGGCGAATGTCTCGGCTACTTCTTGGAGCCGGTCTATGGTCAGCCATGCCACACGTATGGTGATACACATACCATCGTCTTCCAATGCGGAACACGAAGGTATACGAGCGTGTACGCATGCATCTAGCCCTACCAACAGCAACCTGGCATTTCCATTTTTGCGATTCTTCTCTATGTGCATCCTTGGAGACTTCGAGGAGAAGCAAGTTCATGGTTTAACGGCCCCCTGCATCTAAAGTATACTATCGATGATACAACGAGGAATCTTTTATACTTACGGAGTTAAAACTTTTACTATACGTTTATATTCATCCTATTATTTATATTTTTAGTTATATAATTAATATTTATTTTCATCATTTTTTCTTAACGTTTATTTATAGTCATTTTTTCATATTTCTTATTATAATTATCAATATTATATATAAAGAATATTATTTATAATAAACGAATATTTATTAGTGTTAAAAATAGACATCGTAGGGAATGTAGGGTAGACCGTAATCAAATACGTTCGGCAGTATTATTAAAAAGATAGATAGCAATTAAATAGACATTATCCTAGAAAATAATATACTATGGAGCAGAACGTCATCTTGTTTCTATCTAATATTCATCTTTCCTAGATTTCCTTGCATAAATGTAGAAATGATTTCGTCTTGTTTTAAAAAAATATTTCTACATTCATATAAACACTAAATTTGTACTATCCTTGACTATATTTTTCAATCATTTGCATTCCGTTTATACGTGAAAAGCTCGTATTCATCGTAAGGATGTAAAAACCGGTCGATAGTTAAATAAAATAAAATTAAAAAAGAAAAACAAAGAAAAAAAGGGGGAATAAGATGAGAAAGGAAGAAATTGCATCGGCCGATAGTTCTCTTCGAATAAAGTCCAAGCCAGGTTTCAGGTTCATGTTTAAAACAGCTTCTTCGTTCTCAGTACAAGGGGTTGAATTTTTAGTCCTTGAAGAAATCGAGACTTGAAGTACCCGTCGGTGAAGGTACCAGCGATGGAGGAAAGAGGAGAACGCAATGCATTTTTGCACTAGTCCTTATTTTCTAAGATGGCTGCTCTCCCTTTTACTTCTTCTTTCTTACCTCCCCCTTCCTCATCTCTCTTTCCGTACTGGATTCTTAACGTAAAGATGCTACAGTAAACCTGTATTGCCTTTCTTTCTTTATCTGCTTACTGTCCATACGTTTTAAGGTACATTCACAATGTTTTATACTACGTGTACATCATTCTCTAATAGTTATAGAAAGATTTTGAAAAAGATTTCGAAAAGAGTTTTTAAAAGTATTCTCCAAACACAATTTACAAAAATGTATAAATAATGCCAAATTTGTTTAGATCTAATATTTAATATTAGAAGATTGTATTTTGTTGGTGTTTATCATGAATTCACCCATAAAATAAATCATTTTAGATCATGCAATCTATAAGATTTATATGTATTAGATTTAAATCCATTATTTATATATGGAATGTGAGTTGACATCCTTTCTAAATCTTGATTTTTATTATTTATTGATTACTGCATCGCAACATTCTTATTTATAATTGTTAATGCATAGAAAATTATTCTAGTTAGCAAACAAATAACACTTGCATTAATTCAATATATGATCAATATATATGTATGTTAAAATTATGTTTAAATAATGCGATTGTATAGATAAATAAAATTCAAGAAGAAGAAAGTCACAAATAAATAGCATATCATGTTTCTTCTTTTATATTAGATATAATGATATCAATAATGACTTTTATAATATATACTTATATGTAATTCGAATATGATCATTTTAACGATTCGTTACGAACTATCGTCATGGAATAAAGACTTGTCTTCATGGTTAAACAATCGCGCTCAAGGTGACGGTCGTACACGAATGATCGTCGGACAGTGACCGTGACAGTGACGTAGAAAGTGGGACAAAGTTCCCTGCAACTTATGTACGTACATCATTCGAAATATTTCCAAAAAAATGTACCTACTTTTTCTTCTAAGATAACTGTACTGAAAGAAAAATAAATAAAAAACAAGAACGTAAAATAAAATAAGGAATTCATAAGTCGTTAAATTTGTAAAAGGGATCTTTGAGTTTGCTTAAAGAAACCTTTTGGAAAAAATTTTTTTCAAGAAACTTAAGCGAAAATAAATCATATTTATCGTAGGAGAAAAAAGGAAATATACAATTTTTCTCTTTATTATTCATAAAGGTGGTGGTGTTTTAATATAAGAATAAAAATTAATTATAAACGAAAAATATCATAAATAATTAAATATATAATAAACCGGCACATTGAACGTTTAATTTTGATTTTATTTCTTATAAATATATTTTCAACGATCCACCATTTAAAAGATTATAACGTTTAGTAACGATCGTTTTATAAGGTATTAAAGAAGCATCGGCGTCGATATTCTTTGGTCAGATACTTGAACAGTTGTTATACAAAAACGAAAATAAAAATGAAATGAATCGATCGTTTCTTACTAATAACTTTTTCTCTTAAGTATTTATTTCTATATATATACATCTATCAACCAGTATTCCTTTCAATTACATACAGAAGTTATAAAAGTTACATTACTTTCGTAAAAATATTCGACGAGCTTCTTAAAATTGCTTAATCATTAAAATTCCTCTAACACTAAACAGTTAGTTGTTACTTTCAACTTTACAATAACAACTAAACAGTTATTTCTTATGTATATACATATAATATCTTCAATTATTGAGGGGACTTTCTTTTAACTTGTCTAAAGAATAATGTCGAATTATGATATCCCAGAAATCACTTTCCACGTGTACCAAAAGAACGAAACGAGGAAAGTGTCTCGAGTATGGGGACGAAATATGGTGCTCAAAGCGCACGCGCGTTACACCAAGCGCTTACCATTTTCAGTTCGAACGACTTCGCCTTCGTTCGTCCGAATCATAAGGCTCCTCGTGCGAGACCGATTAACACGTTATTCTTGTTTAATTTTGAATCCCAATAAAAAGTCAAAACAATAATTAAAATCAGTAGTGTTCAGAACGAGTTTATGATTAGGGAAGATATCACGTGATATAGCAAGTGATCTAAACATGAAGCGGATTGGTTGGATGGTGATGTGCCTTTTTCTACTGGCGTCATTTTCAAATCAAGTGATATCCGAAGAACAAACGGATGTTTTTTATGGGCTCAACAAAATCGAGGAACGACGAAATAACAAGTTAACGACAGTTTCGAATAATTCTTCTGTAGATCGGGATATAGAAAATGTTAAACACTTTTTCGATGAAATATTCGATGTAAACCTAATCGAAGGTAAGTTTACGTATACAATTCTCATTTGTAGAAACTTACATAGTATTTTTAATATTAATATGTAATGTATATTTTCCTGTAAATGAGTACAATTTAATTTGATGTATATATAAAGAAAATGACAGATGTCAACATATAACTAAGTCACTGTTATTTCACATTCGTGATTCATAAAGATCTTTATGTTCTCATGTATCTAAGTGACATCCTTTTGTAAAGAAGATCTTATTAAAACGGTACATAAATTTCGCAGGAAAAGGGGTCGAAACAGGCCGTACTTTCGGCATCAAGAGATTACAATTTATGTTGATGCCGATGATGTACAAAATGGGAGTGATGATGACGCTTCTGACGGTGCTCACTGTGATTTCTTTGAAAGGTCTTTTGATCGGTAAGTTGACGATAGAAGAAAATGTTATGGAAATGTAAAAGAATAACGGTATTTCATTTAAATGTCATAGGGTGAATACATAATAAGGAGACATCGTTCGATACTTTTATGATTAATGATGTTACGTGACTAACGGTCAAATTTTGGCCTACTTAAAATCAATACAAAACTTTCTCCTTTACTTAAATTGATCATCGATATTAAAAACGAATTTAATGATTTATTTTTTTTTTAGGGGTCATTCTATTGGTACTGAAATTGAGTACCTTCTTTGCTAAGTTTTATGCTGGTTGGAATGAACAACACGTACCGCATTCCTGGTCGCCTCAACCAATTCATGTACACGTTCACAATGATCTTCCTTACGCTCACAAACAAGCTTATCATGCTTGGCCAACCGCTAGCGGACCTGGAGACGAAGAAAATTACTATTACAAGGGATAAAATACAACTCACGATTCGATTCCTTTTTTTTTATTATTACTAATATCATATGAAAAGAAAAGGCGATAAGAAGTAGAACGGTATCGATGGTCTGTGATTCCTGTAGTGCCTTTCGTAATGCTTTAGAATTTGTGATTGATTTTTTGTTAATGTACACATTACCTAGTTTCTTACTCATCATAGAACTTGCTATACGTTTCGCCATATTCATTAATTTCATTCAGTGACATATTTATTGATGAGAGATTATACTTGTAATAATCTTCATTTATAGAAGATTATTTATAAAGTTAACTATAATTTATTCTTTAACTAAAGGTATTCTTAGGATACAGTTACCGTCGACCATATAGCTAAGTTTCCTAATTTATTATTTATTTTAGTAGAAATTAATACCAAAAGAGGCTATGAATGAATAGGAAAGCAATACTGACATAAAGGAACCAAATAATAGAAACAATGTTCCTCGCTACTTTTGAAAAAAAGCATTAATAGGTCAATTACTTTTATTTTTTAATAGTTTTGTCGTATACTAATATTATATTTTTATTAACATCTTATACTGATGTTCTATGTATTAAAAAACAACGAAAACTTGACCAAACATCAAAACCAAAACTGTTAACTAGATATATGCAACAAACAAGTACCTCACATTATCGTAAGCAATTAATTAATTTTTATAACGAACGTATTATTACGTGATTATCTTATTAAATTAAATACTATCGTAGACAATATATGTAATATATTTATAATGTTTTATAAAATAATAATCTTATATTTATTATCAGCATAAAATCGTAATCGTATTTTATACTAATTTTAAGAGAGTCGTTAAAAAAAAGTGTAACATATTTTTCAATTTCAAGGTCAAGCAATATTTTTCTTCTAAGAAAGAGCTGTTACGCATTCTCCATGAAACGATTACGTTCTCCGGTAAGGTAGACCTAGTTTCCAGGCTTCCGTCTAGTAACTACGAGGGGAGGACATAAGAAAAATATTAGTTCTTCGCTTGGCAGACCATGGAGCAGTCCAGTCGATGATCAAACAGAAGAACGAGTACTGCTGTGTTATTTGTATTGTTGTGATGTTCTTATAAATATGTGAAAATTACGATAAGCTCTCTTTTTTTTCAAAATTTGTGATAATTTCCTTTGATCGATTATTTTGCTATTAATTACTAAAGTACAATCAATTTCAAACATTAACATCGAATTGTTTTTAATAGTTAATCCTAATATATACTCTAGTGTTATTTCAAGTAGGTAGATATAAGTACCATTGATTAAAGTTTTGATTAGAATGTTATTAACTCAAAAATTATATACAGTGAGTCTATTATTATGTACAGTGAATTTAAATTATCCATCGTTTATATATTTATTTATTATAAATAGTATTATTATTTATTATTTATACAGCGTCGAATATTTTAAAGGCTTATAGTATTTGTCAAGAGGAGTAAAAAAATGTCTTATTAACGTGGGTCATAAAATCAACCAATTATCATCCTGTACATGTCAATAGTAATTTTAAGTAATGTTAAATTATATTTATCAAATTAACAATAGAAACGATATTATACATGGAATTTATACTTTCAGTCTAACGGAGTGCAAGGTTTATCGGAGATATGAAAGAAGTGGAAAGCATTATATTTAGTACGATCTGCCTAATGACCGTAACGAACGCTTTAGCGAAGACTGAAATAAGGCCAAACAATAACTTAACTTCGACCGAGATGCAATGTTTGGATCTACATTCGGGTATTAAACTTTATGTCAAGGGTAAACATATGTGGATCAACGTAAGAATACTAGAATTATTTGGAGGTATTTTTTAAATATCAAAAGTATAAATATATTTCACAATCTATGTGTATTATATCAATTTTATGTACTTTTTTTTATGTTTTACATAAAAAATCTATTTGTAGAAAATGCTATACAAGGAAGAGATTATTATTCTGAGCAGACAAAAACAAAAAAATCGATAAAGAAAATCGGTTTTATGATGATGATGGCTCCATTCGCTATGCAGGTGAAATAATTTACTTTGTTTTAATTTAACAAATGTTCATTTTCTTAATGAATGTATGTTAATTGTAAAAGAAATTAATTTTTATTATTTTTAGTTGATTTCCTTGCCGGGTTCTATTGCATCTATCAAAATGTCTTTGTTAAGAAGCATTTTTGTTGCCAAATTAGCGATATTAATGATGATATACAACATGATTGTAAACATGAAGTCAGAAGTAATTGTAGTTCAACAGCCTCAACATCATGAACATTATTACAACCAATATCAACAGTATGAAGAAGATCATGACGGCTGGTTCGGTAGATGAAACATCGGGAAAGTGTTTGAGATTTCTCGATGATTAGTACAAAGTCAAAGAGCATATTTGTTTTTCCCATTGAGTAGATAAATATTAGTGATACTAACAATATCGTATATCTATTACATTATGAGTTTTCCATTATTTATATATGTATACAAATATTTCTATCGAATCAACATTATAGATGTAGGTCAAATCATTTAATCGTAATCAATACCTATTTTCTTATTTGCACCGGTAAATTTGAAAATGAACTAACAGTAAGTAGAAAAAATTGAAAAAATTGATTTTATGATTTATTGTATACTTCAATTATTTCATATATTTTTATGTTTTTTATTGTATAATATAAATTTTATATTTTATATTTTATATTTTATATTATTTATATTTAAAGAATTTAAATATAAGATTAATCATAAAATCAATTATTTCATTATTTTTTAAATTTATTTCACTGTCATAATTGCCAGTACATTTATTAAACACATTTTAATTATCTACGTATGACAAGAGCCGTAAGGCAGGCTGCACAAATATAAAAATATTTGACTAAAAATTAATAATATATACTTATTTGTATGTATGTAAATTAATTTATGTCACATTTTATGTAATTTTTAAACACAAAAAAAATATGAGATAATAACGTATACGTCTATATACTATACGTTTCAACGATTTCCCTTTCCAAAACGTTTTCAAAAAATTTAATCACAAAATACCGGTAAGTTCTTAATCATGGCTGAATAACCATAGGTATATTTGATAGTAAGATGCCGGTTGACCTACTTAAGCCCGCAAGTAACGGCATTTTGGTCCAAATTCTGTATAAATGAGAGAAGGGATTTAACGTATACTAGTATTTCGATTTCTCTCTCGTTTATTTCGGCATCGAAATCGAAATTGAAGTCTTCGATATACCCCTTTCATTTCATGTGTTTTATACGATTTCAACAATAAAATAAAATTTATGTCAAAGTTTTTTGTACGTCGTTTTTACATGAAACAAGAAAAAGAGTATTTTAAATATCCGAAAGTAAGAAATTTGAAATTCCTTTTTTTCGGAATACTGTACTGAGTAGTTTTCGCGAATATCAAATTTAGTCTTGAAAGTCTCGATATTCGTAAAACGTACTTACATGTGCCAAAAACCCACCTTCCCCATTGGTGCTCTTAGTATGCCACTATCATCGGTACTGTATCGACGGTTGGCCATACAAATTGCATCGACATACCGTTTTCTAAACTACCTACTGCACGCGTAAAGCATATGTACTTATACACTTATATATGTGTATAATATCATATTATGTTTTTACTTATATATTATATATTACTTATATATATTATGTTTTATTAATCAATATTAATATATATATATATATATATATATATATATATATATATATATATATATATATATATNTATATATATATATATATATATATATATATGTATTATATGTTGAAATGATTTATACTTTTATTTAGGATTCATAATTTATGTTTTACAAATTTCATTTCTTCGAATACCCACACGTATGTATTGACGTCTATGTAAGTATACGAGAAATGATTGAAATTATTCTATTTACTTTCGACTCGTCGCTTTTTTAATCACGCATCTACTTTTGAAAGTGTCTACTTTCTTGAACGACGATTAAAGACGAATTGAATGTATAAATAATAATTGAATATTCAGATATATGTACGTGTTCACATACATAGCTACGAGGTAAACATTTCAACGCTCGCGTTCATAAAAAAAAGTAAAAAAATCGCGAAAGGACAACTTCAACGTGATATCACTTACTATGGTAAACAAACTCGATAAGAATCTCAATTATATTGATATGTATAGTATATGTATACATATACACAATACTCATCATAATCTGTTTGAAGAAAGAAAGGCTTAAACGTTAAACAAAGAATTCAACGGTACTTCAGTGTGAGTACTGATTTCTAATCTCATTGTTAGTTGATAGCAAATTATGCCTAAATTCTATGACAAATGTTTCAAATATTTTTCATCTTATTTCAAGCCAAAGACATTTATTGAATAATATCGAGAATTTAACAAACAAAACAGGAACATAACATAATTCGTATATGATATCTAATTGATTTTTCAAATAAAGAAAATCGTGCCAAAAATTTTAGAAACATACGTGTTTTTCTAAAATAGTCATCGGATAACTTTCAAAGTCCCAGACAATAACTAAAAAGGTTCGTGGTATAAAAACAACTTTCTCCTTATTTATACGTAACAATTAATATTCATAAGTAAGTACGAATGAAATCATAAGTTCATACCTTGCAATATTTAATTATTTCATTCATGATTCATTAATTCCCTATGTATATAATCCTATTGTTACTGTCTTCTTCTTATCTATGAGGGAGAATCAATAATTATTTGCAATGTAATAGTATTTTTTTTCTGTTGAGTGTATTGTCAAATGTTCATGTATTACCATTTGCAATTTTCCCCTTATCTGAAGATTTTCAGTTACTGTTCTAATATTACTTTGAAAGTGTTTATAAAATTTTGAACCTTAATATACTTTATAAACATTACAAATAGATAACTGCTAGCTGCACTTCTTTGATGCTGACATACAACAGGGAGATTATCAATCACAATAAATAAAATACAACAAACCTAACATATTCAAACCCGTATCGCTGTAATAGAAACAATAAATTCTAAACAATAAATACCAATGCATAAGCTTTCAATTGTATAACTAACACACATACAAATATCATTATATTAGAGGTATAATGACTCATATTCGTACATTTATTCTAAATTAAACATACATTCGATATATATAACTCATATTTTGAATAAAAATTTGTTTTGAATCCATGTGATACTTTGCATTAGTACAATAAACTATGAAAGAATAATCGAAGATAAATGGAATAAAGGATATACAGAAGCGGAACTTGATATTATATATCTAAGTTGTATGAAGATAAATAACGATTTAAAGGTCATTCCATGAATAATCATTGATCTAATCGCAATAAACTACGATCTTTTTCTCTCATGAGAAATGAGAATCATTTATTAACTTATTGATAGATAAAAAAAAATGATAAAAAATGATGTTACGATGAGATGAATTTATTTTTCCGTTAATCTATTTAATTATGCAAATGTTTTTTCCATTTATCATAATGTAGAAGAAATAAATCAATTCTTTGAGATGTAACGTAAAAAAAGTGTCCCGCCTACTTAGTATTATACTTATATTTACATTATGGGATTTTTTCATTTCATTTTTACAGCTAAAATATAGTTTTCATGTAAAATTGAGAAGATTGTTGTAGTTAAAAATTTATGAAATAGTATCGAGTAGAAAAAAATGTATGTAAAAAAAATAAGCAATAGTATGGTAAAAGATAATTTTTTATTATGAGAAAGAAGAAAGGAATAACAGTACTAAAAATAAGAAATAAGCAAAAAAGAAAGAAAAAAATTAAGAAAATCAAAAATAATAATAACATTAATAAAACAACAAAATAGCAAAAAAGGTTAAAAAAAATCAAAAAATAATAATTAAAAACAAAATAATAATTATTAAAAAAAAAAAAATAGAAAAAAAATAAGAAATATTAAAAAAAAAAATAAGATAAAGAAAAGATATCAGCGAGCTTTCTAACGGAAATTATTTAACGAACGGTTGGCACAAATCCATGAGATTTACGATCAAGATTTGTCATTGTGCAATTATCTGCGAACGACGTTACTAAACGTGCGAAAGTAATAGCGAAGGAAAAACCTTGTTAAAGTCTGTCGTTGGTTTTTCTTTTTCTTTATTTTTTCTTAACGAGCTTTTCTTCCCTTCTCTCTCAACACAGGTTCTTCTGCATACCCTGCAAAAAAAATCAAAGGCAGATGAATCTTCCAGTCTTCGTTATGCTCGATTACATCACATCGTCGAGATGCAGCAAAGAATTTATTCACATTATTGCACTTAGTCTCGTGAGTACCATCAGACAGTTTATTTCATTTTACAAAATGTCATTTCGATTCGTTAAATATTTCTCTTCGTTGTTAAAAATTAGTTCGACATTTTCATTTCTATTTTTGTGTTTGTTTATGAAAAGTTATGCTCTTATCGAAGATCCATATTACGAAAATAGACCTTACGAATTCTCTTTCAATATTGTCGATTTTCAACATAGATATGAAAAAAAAGGTAAAGGAAAGAAATATATGTTTTCTCGAATAAACGTGTTAGAAAGTAATTAACATTTTTCACATATTGTTCTTAATTAATCAATCGAATTTTTTTTTCGAAAAAAGACGTTGACGGGATTATCACCGGTGAATACGGATTTATAACGGCTGATGGGGTTTATCATGAGACTGGATATGCCACTGATAAGAATGGAGATTTTATTATTACTAAAATGAGAAATCGAAAAATCACAAGTCGTGAGTTGGTTTTTTTTTGTTTTCGATTAACTTTGTTAATAAGAATTTTTTGTTGATACTTTTGAGATTTTTAAGTGAAAGACGCACGAGAAATTTTCAAGGATAAACCTGAAACTGCAAGAAAACTCTTCGAAGCAGTAGCAAAATCTTGCAGTGGGTGTAAAATTCCGACAAATGAGACTCCGAAAGGAAAGGAGAATGAAGTTCTTACGACTAAGTCTGAACCTTTGATTGGGAACAAAATTGAACCGATATTAAAAAATATGATGGAGGTATTGATTGAAAATACAGAAAAAATAGGTAAGAACGAAAATTTTTAGAATGTAGATCATATAATCACATTGACGGTGATTTTTCAAGGTCGTTTTGAAAATAGGACTGACATGTGAGAATATGTAACCGAGCATGGTTAATTCAATACAGTGACTGCTGTTTAACATCGTCATATGTTTTACTAATTGAGTCACTCATTTGCCAAATCGAACTTAACAAAAAAAAATAGAAAAAATTGATAAAGTAAAATAAACTGTCATATCATTTGTGCTAATTATTATAATAGTAAACTAATTGTAAGCTAAAAAGTTAAATAAATTAATATTATGATTTGTTTAATAATATAAATAATAGTAATATATAAAATTCATTTCTTTAATTTTTTAACTTACAATTAGTTCACTGTTATAATTAAATGGCATATTTTTATTCAACAGCTACAAACATTTTTCTTATTAATGATGCTAAGTCTAATTATTAAAGAAATTTAATTGAAATATAAGAAGTTAAGCTTTGATCGAGTACTTTGAGATATATAAATTTAAAAATATTCTAAAAGTAGAATTATTCTCATTGGTTTGTTAACAGCTCAATTAAAGATAAAATACAATACTCGTTGATTCATATTAATTATACTTTCCAAACATTAGAATTAGAATTTAAAATCAACAGACGACGATGTACGACACTCACTGCATCACACGAGTAAATGCTCATTCTCTCTTTTACCTGTTCTTTAAATGATTGCATGCTTTGTATTTTAAAATTTCGAATTAGTTAATTAGAATCTATAATTTCACCTGTCTCCAAAACATATATTTATACAAAAAGAAATTTCACTTCTAGTATACGTATCACATATACCATACTTCATTTATTATTTTATTAATTTTTAGAACACAGTTCAGCGAATACTTCCATAAATGAAGATACCTCAACGACATCAACGAAGAAAAACGAATCTCAAAACAAATTCGAGACTTTTCCAAATATTAATCGTATTCCGATTGATAAGAAAGAAAATGAACGGAAGGAACGAGTTATCAAAGAAATGATACAAGCTAATTCTATTAAAAAAACTCTTTCTAACGATACTAAAAACAATGAAATTATTCTCAATGACAGTTCTCTCGAGAAAATAGCTAACGATCTTTACTATCATTTCAATTATTCGATAACATCGCATGGTCATCAGGAGACTGGTTATCATAACGGTGATAAAAATGGCGATTATCGATCTTTGAGTAAAAATGGTGTCGATACAAGAGTGAAATACGTGTCAAACAAATTCGGTCATCAACCGAATATCACTTTTCATCCACGATCGAACGAGACAGAAAAAAGAAATCATTCACTCCAAGAATATTCCTTTCTTTGGAATTTTGCTTAAAATATTATTCTCATTTTTTTTTTCTTGCTAAAAAATATAGATTAATGTCCAAAAGTTTTAATAAGTTTGATGAATTCAACTATAAGTTAATTTTTCATATCTCTTTTGAAATTATGAAGAAATATTTTAATTGAATATAAATAAGTAATTATTAAATTAAATATTTGTATGAAAATGAAATATTAAAAATAATTATTTATCTTCGAAAAATTATTTCATTTAAGATATCCATAAACCTTCCTTTTCAACATAAACTTTAGTAGTATATGAAGGGGATGATAAAATTGTAATGTTACATTTTTAGTTTTCTAATAATCTGCAAACTATTTGAACTTTGTGATTAAAATTAATACAAGTAATAAAATTAACAAGCCTTGTAGTTAAGTTAATTGATTTAATAGTTATTTATAGAGATGCACATTTTTCTCTAAAAAAAAAAATGTAAAAATAATACAAAATAGGAAGTTGTCGTTACAAGAGCGAAAAAAAAAAAGGGAGAGAAAGAGGGAAAAACGTGTTTGGAAACCAATTTTTTTTACTTACGCTCATCAGCGACATATTACCTTTCTAAGACTAGTAATGAAACGTGACGATTCCTGTGTTACAGACTCGTATAAGACTTTTTACTTTTGACGGGCATGACGTTTTCAGTATTATGCAAATCAACTGAACGTCTTACGGCTAATTTTTCCATAAATAGGAGAGATATAATAAGACTAGTTTATTTCTTATATAATAAAGGAATTTATAGAATTCTTATAAAATAAGAAATATAATAAAAATGGTTTTTCTCTTAGGCGTGATTATGGAATGAGAAGAAATAAATACAATATACATAAATTAAAATACTTAAAGAAAAGTTTTAATTGATAAACAATGACCGGTACAATATTGGAATTACGGTTCGTTTGGAAAGTATCGATTTCTCTACGATTTGGCGACTGTTCGTTTTAAAATGGCGATAAAGACGGAAGATGTAAGAAATTGGGTTGTATTAGCATCCTGTTGTAGTTCAAGCGGAATTTCTGTGGTCGGACCACGTACTCGCCAAACACGTGTACCAGGTTGCATATTCTAAATCCTGCGTGCTTTTAAAACGGATTAGGTGACACAAAACACGAAAAAAAATGATTTCAAAGTAAAAGAAAAAGTATCTTTTCTATTTTCTCTTTTCAATTTTATATTATCAAATTTTCTATATATATATATATGTTATTATCGTAAAGATCTAACAATAAGATCTTTTGCCAACAGCAACGAAAACTAATCGACCCATTTAGCGTTGGATTTAATGTCTCATAAAAAAAAAAATGAAATATCGCATAGAACTACGAATGAATATTGAAACACAGTGTGAAGCTATACCAATAAGAATCTAAGATTTCACATAAAAATAAGGAAATCGTCCAATTGAACGTCCCGTAATAAATATCCCCTTGATTCGTATCCGTAACTAAAAATTTCTCTACGATAAAACAGAAAGATCAAACAACGACGACGACGACGACTGCGACGAAGAGAACGAAAATGAAGTAAGAGAAAAGAAGTTGAACGAAAAAGAAAGAAGAAGAAAGACTAAAGGTGGGATAAAGGGGGTAGGGAAGTGACGAGGAGAATCCCAGAAAGAAGGCGAGTATGGTGTTCACAACGATTGGATCAAGTTCAAGGGGAAGGGGCTCCACTCTCATATATGCTTGTCCACGCACCTTCAACAAGCACTCCGTGCCTGTAACACGTTGCCCAAGGATATAAAAAGCTAGAGAGCTGGAGGAAGCTTGAAAAAAAGGAGGGTGAAGGTCAGAACGACAGATTCGAAGGTGCGGTTTGTTTCGCGGTTGCATATACCGAATAGTACATCCGTAGGGCAAAGAAGAAAAATAAATGAACATTATGAGGTCGTCTACGATCTTGTTATCGCTCATAGGGACATTGGTCCTTCTTACATCGGTCGTTTTGGCCGAAACCAAAGACGAAGAAAGAGAAAAAAGCACCCTTGAATGCATCTTCGAGGATAACGTTGGCAATTGTCTTAAGAAAAGGCTCGCTAGGGACATTGACAGGATCGAGATTGAAGTTTCTGGGAAGAAAAGTGAACCACCAATGAGCGAGGTCATCGAACAGACCGGAAATTTCATCGCTGAATTCGTAAGCGACGTACAAGAGGAACTCCAAGAGGATGATGAGGAAGTTGCCGAACGTGATGCCAACGTAGATGGTCGTGCATTGGGTAAGCATCCCCTGACAAATAATATTGATAATATTAACATACTTAAAAATTTAATTAATGTTTGAGAAAATCATTCATATATATATACATCTCTTGTAGAGTTTTATTTTAATATTCCCGCACTAATAAACGTGATAAAATTCAAACGGATTAGATTGTTCTAGTAGATTAGAAATTCGTAACTCGTTCTAATCGCTAATTGATTCAACGACACGCACTAGGAACGGCATTAACTTTCTTCAGTGTTCCTTTCTTAAGATTCACGTTTTACTCCACCTACTCCCTCTTCTATTTTTAAAGACAAAAAAGTCGGCTAACTTTTACCGACCTTAAAGCTGCTGCCCGTCTGCCCACCTTATTGGCAGGCCTAATAAAATCAAGAATTAATTTGATTGAAATGCCTCGTGAGTTCCACCTTGTTGTTTCCCCTATTTACGTTATTACCTTTCATTAGACTCGGCTATTTTATTATTATTTTTTTTTATTTCATTATATTCAGCCCTTTTCGCGCCTAGTTGAAATAGAAAATTAGTCTTGTTCTTCCGTATTCACATGCTCGATCATTTATTTGTTTGCTCGTGATACGTGAAATTCTGACACAGATTTCGGAAAGAACGAATGTCAATTAGCTCAGAACAGCAATCTCTCGTATATATTTACAATGATAGATTTAATCAGGCTAATTATGCATGATTGGTTTAACTTATACTAATTTATAGGTCAGGAAAATAACTAGCTGACGCTGATAACTTTAAAACTGTCGTCTTTGAACTTTTCTGATTGTTCTCGTTATTATGGATCGTTTTTGATTAAGCGAATTTTCCTGAACTTCATTTTACTATCTTTACAATATAATAGATTAATAACAAAAGAAAAATAATTAATAATCTGAGTTCTTAAGAATTAAGAAAAGTAGACAAATTCGTTGTTCTCCATATACTCAATTGACGTTCAAGGTCAATGAACTTTGTATTTCTTCATTCGCGCGTAAGAAGTTTATTCTTATAAAATGCAAAACGCACAGATCGTAACTCGCGCGTGTAAACGTAACTATTGAAACCTTTTTCTGGAATCGTAGGAGGATAATCTGTCGAGAACATTAATTGTGAATTAACATGCGATATCAAACCCATAGACCTTAGATTTTTCGACTCGATCATGCGATCACATTCATTCTCCGTGTCCAAGACAAATAATTTTTTTTTTTAAATTTATTATCATACTTTATTAAATAGGACGCTAACGGTACTACACTCTTTCCTATTTTTTTCTATTTTATCGTTGTAAACTTCATGCAATTTTTACAATAAATTTTTACAATAGATTTTTCTAAGATTTAACATTTAATCAATATATTATCTTTATGACTAACATACTGGTTGATAAACAGAAGATTATAAATCAGAATTATTAGTTTTATAAAGAAATGTTTAAAATGTAATGTAAAATTAGGTATCGATTTTGTAAATGAAAGCAAATAACGTATCTCTTGTTCCATTGGACAAAGGAAATATAAATTCTATTATTAAAAAATAGCAAAGTAAGAAATATAAGTGTAATTATTGTATTTAGTTCCACATTTAACTTATTGTTTATATTCTTTTACACTTCTACTTCATATAATATATTCTCAAACAATAATTAAATATACCATTATTGTTTATAGTTAGATAAGTTGAAAATAAAAAAGAAACGTTTGATAATACACTATCCAAAAATGTTATGCGATACGTCATAAAATTTTTTGTGGAACTACATAGATAAGAGAAAAGTAAAATTAACTTACATTAAAAATTCTAATCAATGATATAGAAAGATCATGAATAAATTATCGTTCAATTAGGTTTCGTATGATACAAAGATCATTTAAAAAAAACATAACATTCATGGAATACTTAAAAGTTGATCGGAACAAAAATGTAAGTATGTGACTTGTAGACGAATTAAACGTGGTCCAGGTGAAGGTTTTGAGGTCAGTTTACCCAAGCCCTTTTCTCATCCAGTTAAACGTACAGTTTCCAGTCGAATTGCGGTCGAGGAGAATGAACGTAATATTACGTTAGTTTCCTTAGTTTATCTTATTTTTCATCGTGCTTCAAAATTTTCTTATCGAACAAATGATACTAATCTTCTATGCTTAACAAATTGTAACAATAGCTCTTAAAGTTATTATATTTTATTCATTCTATTTGAAGATAGTGGATTGATTAAGCAAATTGAATTTAATATTAAAATGAATGTAACGATTCATCGAAAGATTCTATGCTCCCTAAACGTATCTAATAAATCTCTATTTGATAACGATCAGGGAAGCTGATAGTGAAGTAATTAATGAGATTAAAACGGTACAGAAAAAATGGAGTTATACATCGGTCAACCTTCATTTAAGTAGAAATGGCCTTTAAACCATCTTCGATTTTAATCGTATGTTTGGTAACACCATACCGCTTTCCAATATACCATAAAATTAATAATGAGGATACCGTTTGTCCCAATATCGATATTGTTTTAAAAAAAGGATGAATGACGTTAAAAAAAACGGTTTCGATCGTAAAATACAGAAAACATTTGTTCTTTGAGGTTAAGTTATCTATAAAACGAGAGAATATTCTTATATATGTAAATGTGTGTTTAAATCAATCAATCGTTAACATCGATATTGTTGACATTAACAACAATCGTCTGTCTGTTTACAGAAGAAGCACGTAGAAAAAAATACGGAAAAAAGAAGAAGAAGCATATGCAGAAGTTAATGGCTTTAGCTATGATGTTCAAGGCCAAGGTCGCTCTCCTCCTTCAATTGATCTCAACGCATTTGCAAGCTAAGGTCTTCTTTATTGCGATTATAGGCTTGCTTATAAACGCCACCAAATTCTGGATCGATCTTAAGAAAAATCAACCATCTAAAGTGATCTATTACGAGCACGCTCAACACCAACATCATTATGATCACGAGGATGATCATCACGGTAGTTATTGGGGAAGATCATCTAATGACTCACCTCAGGATATCGTCTATAACTCCTACGTTCCTCAGCAGTGATATATTTCACTCGATGATGACATAGAAAGGACGATTAACGAGACTAATTCAACAACAACAAAAGGAATCAACAATTATTCCTTTCGTTTATCGATTTTTTCAACGTCTTATTGATTATTCTTCTTTCCTTTTCGATAGATAATATTGAGCATGACAATGATCATTGAAATCTTTTACGATTTCATGATTGAATTAGTTCTCTAATAATTCCATCAGACTATTTGACGAGTCAAGTTCAATGCAAGCTAGACAAATTGTATTTTCTATATGTACTTAATATTATTTATTTATTTAACTTATAATTATGTATTACATGCGCATATGTGTCCTAATCAATTTCATTTTTTCCTTTCCTTTCTTTTTTTCTTATATCTTATTCACCTTTCCCTTTTCGTCACGAGATGAATCTTCTTCAATCATACCAAAGTTACTCATGCGTACCTGCTCCGACATCGTCATATGCTTTCTTTTTATTATTATATATATAAACCAATCCATCTTTTTCTTTTTGGTTTTTAATTAACAACAATATAATTTGCATATATATTATTTGATCACACTACATGTATTAATTATCATATCATTTTATAAAAACGAAAATACTGTTGCAATTCGTTTCTACATTCTCTAAATATAATACTAAAAGTATACTTATAATAAATAATAATTAATAATTGTTTACAAGTATTATTTTTTAATTTAAGTTTCCTATAAAATTTCTTGTTCTGTTTTATCAACGAAAATAAAAAACATCTAACTCGTTCTCACCAAATAGTTTAGCGAACGTCTTAATAGTGAACCTCAGAACTCTCTTTGTATTTCTTCTCGGTGGTTAAAGTAAAATGCATTTAGAATTTAAAAACACCAACGATATCACCAGGCTATTCACCTTCTCGTGCTCGCGCGATCAAAGTAAAAGATTAACACATTCATCGGCGCACCTTTAGTATCGTTTCTTACGAATTCTCATCCCTTATTATAAAGAAGAGAAAATGAGTCATGTAAATAATTATTACTAAAAACAAAACAATAGTAACGGATATCGTAATTTATCTTCTTATTTAAAAATTAAAAATGTAATATAGATGATCAGTTACGTTTGAGGTTTGTAAAATGTATCTAATGTTTAAAAAAAATCGTAAATTATTGAGATTTTTAATGATCTACGATTAGTATTTCTGTATAAAAATGTTCTGTATAGAAAATTATTTGTATATATAAATAATTAAAAGAGATCGATTGATTAAGAAGAAAAAATGAATTAAGTTAACAAATAAAATGGAATTGCAAGTGCACAAATGCATCCGTGCATCAGCACAAAAAATAAGGTTATAGTAATTTATATCATTTTATTTTTGCGGCTATCATTTTTAACTTAATAACTGCACGTGTAGTTAAATAAAACAAAATAAAAAGTAAATCTTGAAAGAATACAAAAGAAAAAATACGAAATCAAGAAACCAAAATGCTTTCATGTAACCACTTATTAATATCTAGACAAACGGAAAAAAGTATGTTAATTTAATAAGTATATTTGTAATACTTAATGGATGTACAAATTTTCTCTCCTTTTTACATCAACATTCAGATAAAGAAGAAAAGTATTACAAATCTTCAAATTTCAAGGAAACAAAAGGAAGGAAATGAATCGATGTGTCCATAAAATTCGTCACATTAAATATTTTTCATCGTTCTCATGGTCGATGACCACGAAAAGGGAGAGAGAAGTGGGTTCGGTTTCGCAATAGAGAGGACTTTGGAGAATTGTTAAGTATTCACATCCCGAATAAATGCTGGCCGTGATGCGGCCTTAACGAAGATGAGGCTTGGCTGATTTACCTTCGAATTTCGACGGCCGAATTTTTTTTTACGTATTTATCTTCTTACATTTGAGATTTCAATTGGAAAAAAGCCAAATCGAGCCAAATGGGATCACCGTGTCGTTGTATATTGGAAAAAACTGTGCAAAAGTTCACGCGTAAAATGTTAAACGTGTGAACGAGACAAAAATCAATGCTTAATGTTTCTTCAATGTCACTTATTTTTTTGTCATTATTTCGTTAAAGATTCTTTGATTAGGTAAAATGAAGCAAATAATAAATATATTAGGTTTAAAAATTCATTTGATTTTTTTTTTAACAAATTAAGTATTTATTTATAAAGTAATCATATAACTGTTATTCTTCGAAATAATTTTCATTATTTTCAATGAATTTGACCCATCTTTCAGATAACTAAAAAATTCTTTGATGAAAAAAAAAATGACGAAATTTTGATGCAATAAATTTAATATCAAGGTGTCGAATTAATTTCTATACCTAATATTGTATTTTTTAAGAACAAATGATATGAAAGGGAATTATAAGGAAGATTATTTCGATTAAAAAAAGAATTCTGTACAGTTTTTCAATTCCTTATCGTTTTCAACTTTATAAACATTGTTATTTTTAATGGTTGTCTTTAGATTCTAAAAAAAAAATAAAAAATTTTACCTTTTCATTAAAAAATTATCTACTCACAAATATCCTAAAGTGAAAAAAATTCATTTTATAGAACTTGTTCAAGATTTAACGACAAGAATAATGAAATAAAGTTAGACTGTAGTTAGGTTTATTTAAAGCAAAAAAAAAATAAAATTAATTGTTTGTAAGAAAATATCTTTCTTTTAATCAAATAGGTAAATAATTGGTACTGTTAAAAAAAATTCTGTTTGAAAGAAAATTAGTAAAGTTATGTTATGTCATTTATTATTGAGCTGCCATAAAAATTGTTCTTATTTATTGGCGTTAAGCTTTATTGTTATTTTGAAATATTAAAAATTAAACATTGATCAAGCGTATTGATAATAGAATTAAAAACAACTCTGAAAGTATAGCGAATCATTTTAGCTTATGAACGGCTAATATTTATTTAAATACAATTTGATAAAAAATTATATTCTTAAAAAAAACTCAAAAATAAATACAATTTATTCTTAATTTTGTTAAAAAATCAGTACTCACTTATATTAGCATCATTACCGATTTCGTAATCGGTGAATCTTCATTGGTGGGTGCGTGCTTTGAAAAATGGTGCTGAAAAGATCGAAAGGAATCCTTAAATGCAAGGAGTCAGCTCACTCCTGTCAAGGTCGTACTCTCTATGAATAAAAATGAATTGTTTGGATAGAAGAGCGTGCACGAGCTTCTGTAGACGGATTAGACAGCTTAGAATGAGTCGCGTCAACGATCCGTTAAGGAACTTCTCAACGACAAATTCGGTAATCAGAATCGACTAGCCCGTTTGACTCGTCTTCTCATCGACCAACGACCAACGACCAACAATAAATATTAATTCTAAATAGACGAATTATTTACCGACGAACGTAAGACACCACATCATCGGACGGTCGGACCATTTGCATCGGGCCTTCGAGGATGATGTGAACGTCTGGATGGTCATTGGTCATTGGCAGACCAAACGTGAAGAATTTACTGATTCGGACGTACTGAGAATTGGCCATTCATACAATATTCAAGATCCTTATCCTCGCTTAGCTATATAACACCCTTCTGCGATTCGGATCTTCAGTCACTTCAGAATCTCCGAAGAAAGAAGCTGGTAAAACTTCCAAAAATTACTAAAAAAAAAAACATTCAATCAAACGTATACACTATTATTCCGTATATTTCTCAAAAGTTAGCCAATAAGATGCATCGAATCGTATTTACCGCACTTTTCTGTGTTTTTGTATCAACGATATATGCAATTCCTCAACAACCAAAATCCAAGAGACCTACACCCGTGTTTAAAGTTAGTAAAAGTATCATTACTCTTTCGAAACTATCATTACAAGATACGTTAACAAATAAAAAAACTGACTTCTCTTTCTTTAAATAGCAAAATCAAATAGGTGGTCTCCAGTTACCGGACAATGCTACTCTTATACGAGACAATATCGTTGATACATTTTCTTGCAAAGATAGAATTTATGGATACTACGCTGATATGGAAAATGAGTGTCAAATATTTCACGTGTGTCTACCACAGTCAAGAAATGTCGTCAAATGGAGTTTCATTTGTCCTGCAGAAACTGTTTTCAATCAGGTAATTATATTTATATTATTATTATTATTATTCAATTATTTTGATTATAATTTTATATCGTCGTTAGGCCACTTTCGTATGTACGCGAACGGAAGAATCAATTCCTTGTGAAGAATCGGAACAATATTATAGTTTGAACGAAGAGATCGGTAAAGAGGAAGAAAATACCGAAGAAGAAACTACAAGATCTGTTCCAGCAAACGCTGACGTCGAGCCAATTACAAACAAACCATTTTCCAGGAATTCAAGAATTTTAAAGCGACAAAGATATTTCCAAAAATTTTGAATAACATATACCACAAATAAATTTACTCTTCGACTTTTACGTTGCACGAGAAACGATAAAATACATTTAAAAAAAATTTTTTTATATGCTACATTCGCTTGCCTTCAATACGTAAATACATAATCATGATATTGTAAAAAGAATTACTACGTATTATGTAAGTAATCGTACATGTAATAAGTTAAAATATTCTATATTATCTTTATTTTTTTTTCTTAGTTGTAATTATAATCGTGTAAAAACAAGAACTTTAAATTATTTTTCTGAATTATTTGATGGTCTCTAAAATTTCTTTTAAAGACTTTTAATTCGTTGGTTAAGATTTGTGTGTAATTTTACAAATATACGTTATTAAATATCGACCTTGTTTTGAATGAATTCCTTATAAAATATCATTAATTATATATCGGAAAATAAAAATTAACATCATAAGTCTTTTAGAAGAATATTTGTACTAATATAATATGTAATTTAAGTACAATACATACTAAACACAGCAGTAATGGAGAAGATAATGTTACTAAAAAAGTGACTTATCCATCTAGTGTAAAACTAATTGGAAATACAACGAAAAGAAAAGAAACTAAATAGAAATATTAAATACCATTATCGTAATATTAAATACAGTGTTGTTTCAAACACCCAATTATGTGATCATTGATATGTATCGATATTGGTTTTCCAACTTAAATAACTAAATATATATATATAAATAGAATTAAATCTAAAAAAACGTAGGATAAATGATTAGAATCTAAATGATTAGAAAATAGTATCGGCAAGATAATACAAAATCTAACGTGTATATTAGTCTCCTAATTTCTTATGTATAAAAAATACTTCCAATATTATATATTATAGATACAATCTTTGCTAAAACATTACTAAATCATAAAATAAAATAAGACTCGATTAAAAAGATGATTACTCGAAAAAAAATTAACTTATTACACAATGAAAAAAATAAACACTCAACACACAAAGCGGCTAGAAATAAATTCAAACTATTTTTTTTTTTTTTTATTATTATTGTTTTTTGTTTTTTGTTTTTTAAACGCGATCATTATTACACACTTTTGTCGCAAAATCCTAAAAGTCGCTTCGGCAAGTCATAAACTACCGCTGACTATATGATTCTTTTCTTCTATTCAGTATCTTTGGATAGCTAGCCATCATGTTGTGGATAGGCAATGCCCAACCTTTCTTCGTAAAGCCAATAAAAATGATTAAACACATAATAATCTGCATTTTCATATTTACGGAAAAAAAATAATCAAAATATCTTTTCGTTTCATTCGAAAATCATTATAATTGCAATAAGATGATGGAACGTTTAATTCCATAATTACACTTCTGTTGATCTTCAAATTAAACGGAAAGAAAACATTGTATATACATATATATGTACAAAATGCGTTACAATTATTTTTTATATAAAATTTGAACAATTTTTATACACGAAACCCGTATTTCCTGTATAATAACTATTTCTTATAAAATAAAATATACATAATATTATTAATAATATGAAAAGTTTGTCTCCTTCAACGCTGGTACTGGCATACGTTTATATTCTGTTTTTTTTTTTTTTTTAATTAAGTAAAATATATACATAAGTATATAAACATTAGAAATAATTTACTCTGTAGGAATTATGGTAAAGCCAAAAATCTATAATACACTAGACAGATATTTTCCATTAATTGTGCTTATAAACAATTTTCTATTGTCGTAACCCTGTATCGTTTTGTTTCCTGTAAAATGCAACGTTCTCGACAGAAATGTATTCATCACAAAATGAACATAGAAATATTTCAAATCACTCGAGTTGCAATTTTTGTATCGTTCGATAACGTAATTACACGTATTACATTCGTACGAAAGAAACGTCGAAAAAAAAAATACTTCTTTAAATTACATGGTTAGTCTCTGAGAAATAAAATCATTCACGCTTCAGAATCCATACAAAGATCGGCTTCGATTTCTTCAGGACTTCGAAGATCGATAGCGAACCTTTTCTTGGTATTACTGACCACATTTTGGGAATTAGCTTTGTCCTGAATCTTGACGTTTCTCGAATAAATTTCAAATGCAGTTGCAAGTGCATAGGTGAGTTGTCTGGCATGATGTTTCGATTCACAAACAAAGCCATGACACTCGAAAGGTGAAACCCTTCGAAAATTGTCCGTTTCACGAACGACGATCATTGAGAATACCCTGGTATAAACGAGATCTTGCACGCCATAGGATATATTCTCGATCGCGTACATTCTCGAAGAATTTGCTTCCTGCTTCCTCTTGTCGAGCGGTAAAAGTGCTACACCTTCTTGAGAGACCACTAGTTTGATCAAAGGCAGCATCGTATTGGTCGGTAAAGCTTTAGCCGAAGACACCATGTTATCGACCGGTTGTCTGGTATGTTTTATGCCCCAGAGGCCCCTTGCATCGTGGGATCCTAAATATTTTACCTGTAAACATCTCTGACTCAGTTTCTTTTGTCCTAGATAAAGCAACCGTTCCTTTCCACAAAATATTATATTATAACTGATCAAAATACGTTTATCACAATGTACGTTTATTACATCATAATATTTTAAAAATTTTGTAGGCTACTAATACGTGACTTATATCAACTAATAAAAATACCGTACATACGCGCGTAATGTATCGAATCGGTACCGATACAGGTAGATCAATCTTGTTTTTACTTTAAATGGGACTAGAATATCGACATAAATACGCTTGTTTACACTTATTTACCAGATGAGGTATTACAAACGAGTATGCGAACAAACATTAGATGTATGTGGGTATATACATAGTCATGTAAGTCTCGAGAGATCAGGTAAACAGAAAATTGTACCTGACACTACCAGCAGGTACTTTCGAACGAACATTCTAAAGTATTTGCCTTAAACCGTACCTGAAACACCTGCGGCAAATCAGTCGACCCCTCGAACACATTATTATCAATCGACAGACGAGATAATTTTGTTATCAGGTCTTTCTTCTTTTCCGTCGATGATGATAAATTCTTCATTTCTTCTGTACGATTATTTTTCTATAAACAATAAATTTTAATTTCATATTATGGATTAAATATATATCTATATTATCTTATCAGAATGTTCGCTTACAATTGTAAAAAATTAGAAAAAATTATATTTTCAAAGCTACAGAATATGAGAAATCCATTTAAAATGTGATAACGAATTCTTTTAGGTGTTAACTCTAATACAACTTTAAATTCTCTATTAAATACTTTTTATACCTCTCTCTATTTTTTTGTAAGAATGAAATTTTTTAAAGATCTATAAACACTGGAACTAGTCAATTATTACAAATCTAACATATAAATGCTATTTATTTATACTTTCTAAATAATTTTATGAACGATCGTATTACTGTGAAATGATACAACTGTAATAATTAAATAGAACATAAAAATAATATAGATTCATTGTATGCATGGTAATGTAATAAGATTTATGTATACATGTAAATATACGTGGGTGTAAATACGTTTACAAATGTGTAAGCGACACAATAGGAAATAAACTTAATAACGGTAATAAAAGTTAACTGACGTGTACTGAAAGTATAAAAACAACTCATAAAAAGCGAAATTGGTTGGCGTAATAGCAAATAATGCGTTACCAATCGATGATAAACAAACCATGCGTGTTAGATGAACTAAATAACATACGTTAGTATGACTGACCACGTTTTCACTGACAAGAATGTAAATATGAAATAAAAATATAAATTGACAGGTCGTTCACGTGGTACTTGTAGTATCACTCTCTCTCTCTCTCTCTCTCAATGAGATTCATATTAACCTTATTATAATCAGATAACGTTAATTATTCTTCGTTTATTGTTAAGATTTACATATAATATAATTGTAAGGTTTATTAATAGATTGAGTTTATTGTTTAAATCTAATTTAATATTATTAGATATATGATTTTGGATAAAAAATTAGAAATAATAAAGAGAATAGATTTCTTTTAGAAATTAAAATTAGACTTATGTTAATTAACTTACAGATTGTTCTTCGTGTTTGTAAGGTTTAGAAGATGGTTTGACTTTGAGATGATACTCGACGACGTTCGGTATGTTCGGCGTGTTGTTTGGAACTGACGAGGGGGAGGTCTTGGGACGGTCAGGAACGTTGTTTCCACCGCTTCCACCGGCGGCCACAGCCCTCGTCGGCGCTGAAGACGGCTCTTTCTCCTCTTGTATTTGTCCTCCTTCTTTTTCAACGGTTAAAACCTTCACTAGGGCTCTATTGTCCCTTTTAGTAAACCCAAAGTCGTCGTCTTCCATACTGAAGCCTTTCTTTTGGTTAATCTTTTCCGAGATCTCATCTATTCTCTATCTGAAATTTTTTTTTTTTTTGAAATTTCATAAAGAAACTAAATTATATAACATATTGTTATTTTATAGTATTTTAAATAAATTATATATGTGTGTTAAATATACATTATAAATTTTATTATTTGAAGCAACTCTTATACTTAATAGAAATTTAAATTAAAGAAAGTTTCTACACGTTCGCGGAAAAAATGCAATAGCAGCACATAGGCACGCACAATTCGCGTACTTGGCAAAATGTTAAAATAAAATATTATTCAATTTTCAAAAGCATACGAAAAGGTTTCAAATATACTCTGTGTATGTTAAAATATTTTAAGTAATCTTTTTAATAATTTTAATATATAGAAACAAAATATGTTAAACAAGTTTATAGAAATATATACATATAATTTCGAAAAAAAAAAAACAATTTTATTCAATTAAAACGCCGAAATTTCAAGTATAATTAATTAAAAATGTTAAATATGTTTTTCAATAATTCATCATTCCATTGGTTAACCAAATGGAAAAGATCACATATCTCCGAAAGGGGTTTCGAAAACCCTTCAATTAGTATTTAAGAGATTATAAATAATAGATGTTAAAGAAAGAAAAAAACGTGAGAATAACTACATCGTCGATCATTATTACTATCATCTCCGAATGTATCCAAGCATGTAAATAAAAATAAGACTCAACGTTTCTGAATTACACCGGAAAACAGCTGTCGAGCGGCACGTGTTGCACCTTGCGCCTTCGTTGTTCTCAATCGCCACAACGATCGTTGCATTTCCTTAAGTATATAAGTAACATCGTAAATGATATCAAATCAATCTAATTACAAGGTCATTACCTTGCCTTATCTATTTCAAATTATAGATAAAAATATATTATTTTCTCAAATTAACAATTTTTGGAAACAATATTAATATAAAAACCTTTTTTGTGCTTGTAATATTTTACAAACTCCTATTATTTTTGTTGAATCCAAATGAAATTTTACGTAATTGCTATTTATGATTAAATAGAAAGTTATAGTTATTTAACTTGCGAAAATATTAGCTATAAAATAAGTTATAAGAATATAAACAAGTGAAAGATAGAGAAAAGATTGTTGTATATGACTGACGTGAATACGAAATGAAAGAGAAAAAAGGAAATTAGGAAGTTGATCACATTAGAGATGCATACGAATTATTTATACAAAATTTTATTAGAATAAAACAAAAGTAGATAGATTTGTTGAGTAATTATAAAAAAAAAAACAGATTAAAAATTTTATATATTAACAATATGTATTTAAATAATTAAAAAAATATATCTATTTGTAATTTCTTTGTAACTATAATTCAACTACTTGATCATAAATACTAATTACAAATCAAATAGTTGACATAATCATATTAGCAACTCTCTTGATTTTATATAAAATATTACAATTATTGTTAAAAGAAAAAAAATAATAATATAATAAACTCTCCAAATTATTTTTATCCAATTATAATTAATTATAAATGTGTAAATAATTTTTATAACAATTTTTAACGAACTACAGAACAAAAGAAGATCGGCGGATATTCGAGGTTCGATAAGCGGAAACAGCAAGGAGGGAACGTGTGCACTCTTTCAAGTTTACAGGAAGTGAGTCAGGTGACCGATCGTCAGGTGAGGAAGGATTCATTAACGTATTCCGTCGGTTACGTTAGGGTTACGTCTGAATACGTTAAATAACCGCACTTGTGAGTGTTGTTGTGCATCGTATTTGGTTACAGTGCATCGAAACAGTCAAAACAAGTTTTGTTAGTTCATCGATAAAAACATTCAAATAGAACACCTGAGATCAAAAGGAGCCAATAACCAAAAACCATTGTAAATGAACTTCGCGAATTAAATATAAATGTGAAATATTTCATATTTCATTTATAAATTAATAATTATTTCATAAAAGATAACAAATATACAAAATATTATATCAAAAGCAAAAAATTATAATTATATTTATTGAAGCTCTAATATATAAATAAAAAGAGTTCAAATTTGAACATTTTTAAATATTAAAATGTTAATTTACTCATTAAAAAAAGAAAATATAGCTAAATACAGGCTATTAGAGAAATTTTTCTTGTATAAATCTGTACATTTATTTTTGCACTTATTATTAATAATATATTTATATTCCTGTTTTAAAGTACTATGTCGAAAAAAATTATTGCGTGAAGTATTTTAGTTGTAATCAAAGTTAAAAAAACATGTCAGAGAAAAAAGATAAATAATTCAAGATAAACTACACATTCACGATTATATTTTAATCGCAAGTAAAATGATGACTGTGCAATTGTTAAAAAATAATTCATGTATACGAGTATTGGCAAAAACATACGATCTTCAATACTTAAGTGTTATAAAAAATGATTTAAAAATCTGATCACATTAATAATTTAAAATTATATTTAGATCTATATAAAAAAAACGTTAGTTTACTTTTAGAATACACCATATGTTTTACAAATACACCTGTCAGCCAGTTACACCCACGTAGAATAGATAAAATGCGAACATACTGGACGACATATAGAATGCCATAATTAAAATATTTTCAAATAGAATCGCCAATTCATAAATCTAAACATTAAGCCCTATTTTAATTATTAGAAGATAATCCAATGAACTGCAACTAATACAATTTTGTTATTTCGAAATTTGAACTTGGAATGCATCAAGAAAATTATCGTTCGATTCAACGCAATTTCTCAATCGATCCTATCACATACTTTGACAGATAATTAATACGTAGCAAGATAATGAAAAAAGAAAGAGAGAAAGGTAAAATGAAGCGTAACGGTGATAGTAAGGATAAAACGGAGCGATAGACAGTGGCTGCTCGTTATTATAGTTTTCCGTTAGGAACTTCCGTTACGTTTCAACGATGATATCGTACTCTGTTAGAAAATATCGATATAACGAAATATTTCTGCTGAGCTCGAAAGAATATTTCCGAGAAGCACATACTTAAAATTTAATCTAGAGAAATTTGTTTGCAAATAATATGATTATAATATCTTGCTGTAAATAGATATAATAATAAAAAGCATTGACATCAAATAATTCATTTCATAAAAATCCAGATACCAATAAATTATTTTACAAAAATTTGTAATTAATTGAATCAATTATTAGTCGATTATAAAACTATTTAAATATTAAAAAGAAAGTATTATATAATTAATAATTGTATTTCCTAATAACGATCGATAAACAAATATTTCACTTGTAATCAAAAATCTTGAATCTAACGAAATATCATTTCATAGTAATAACAGGTAAAAATTATTTCGATTATTATCAAAATTACTTGGTAAACAAAAAATTGACGTGAGCAAGTCGATACTTTACGATATAAAATTTGATACGACATGGACAGGAAAACGCGAGATTCACGAAGCGTGGAACTTTGTTGGTATCGCCATTGTCAAGTCTGATTTATACCAGACATCACGAAGGCAAATGATTTCCCTTTTCATTTGGAGCCTACGGAAGGGTAGCAAAGAGACCGGAAATGCTCGTGAATGTCAGACCGGAAGTCGTTAGATTGTGTCACGCTAGATCTCAAACGATGCGTGTCACATCCGTTCGAAACAAAATTCCAATGCTTGTGAATTCGAATCGATGAAGAAAATGACGTTACCGTTTGATAAAATAGAAGGTATAATCGTAATTTCATGCAATAATGAAAGTTAACTGTAACGAATCACGAATTTAGTTGAAAAATGATATATCATATAAAATCAACGATGAACGTTAAACGATAACGCATAGATAACTCTCACTTGAGCCTTTGAATCACAAGAACGATATCAAAGTTTATCTCGGATAAACATTCGAAGATAACTAACATGAGTGTGACTTACATTAAAATCTTGACACAACATTTTATATTTTTTCATTACGTTTCCAAGATAGAATTTACACTATTATGATTCAACGTTACTGGCTTTTTCATTATACCTATAGATATATTGACAATGAACGATTTTTAAACAATGCAGAATTTATCAACATTTTCTAATATCTAATTAGAAATTTATTCTCGTAGAAAGGTACATATAGAAAACCGGTCACACTTACTACACAAACAAACACGTATAGATACATACATAGCGACATACAAATTGATGTCCCGAAAACGGTCACGTCGAAACGACGTTGCTTTCACAAGATGAAAGAAGAACGTAGAAGAGAAAAGTACTTTTAGCAGAGGTCCCACATCCAGAATAGCATTAAAGACAATCTACGAATATGAGGATCTAGGATTCCATGACTAACCGACGTCGCGATGTCCACAAGGACGTTACGCTTCGTGAAATGCAACGCCACGACGACAAAAAGTTCTTTTTTTCGAAGAAACAAACACTAGAAAGTTCAAGGTTAGACATCTAACATGTTGAGTCTTCGCTTTCTAAGCAACCAGTCGTATATTAGATACATATAGTTATATATATATACGTACACATTTATGTAAGATTATAATAAACTTTATAATCAGTTTTCTTTTTAAAATTCTATCAAAAATAAATGATTTTACTGTTATTACACATGAATTGGAAAAGATGTTTAAAAAAAAAGGTAATTATTTAATTATATATTATTAAACCCACCGATAAAAGTGTATTTTACTTCAAGTTATCGTCGAACGATCCATATTTCACGTTTTATTTCGAAATGAAAATACGATCGAAATCACCGGACGAGATATTCGAAAAATCAAAAAGCTAATCTAGGATTCGCGAACGATCAACTCGCACCTGCGGTATGCGCTGTCGCGTGCGAGTGACTGAAAATGTGGGGCAGACCGAGACTCTCTGGGCACACCGTTCAACTCGCTCGAACTGATAAAACCGAACGACGCGATTCTCCGTTACCTATTTTGTTACCGCCTCTTTATCGATACACGTTGATTTTTTTCCCCCCTATATATGTGTAAGTACATACATGAGTGAGAACAAACGCGTCAACGAGTTCAATTTGTACTATAAGATACGGCGATAAAATTCTCATGTGTTTCAATAAAAGCACAGATTTTTTGTATTCTGATATTCAAATATTTCTTTTTGTTCTTAACTATCTTTATCATGCTAATAACTTTTATATGTACAGTCTTTTTTATTTATTTTTTGGTATAAAAATACTCATCCATTCGTTATTTTCACATAATTTAAATCATTTCTTTAATGAATATTTATGATAATTATAGATAATCTACGTGAATTAATATATACATTTTCTATTAAAAAACAAAAGTAATTTTCTTATTAATACAATTATGAATAATTGTATTCTTACAATATTTATCTTTTCATTTGATTTATTATTACTGAATGAGAAGAAATGAAATATTAATTCTCATTGCCTTCCACGGTTTATATACTCATTGCATACTCGTCTTTGTATAAAGAAAGAAAGTTCTTTAGGACCATGTCATTTCTTCATAGTCGCTTTTACGCATAGGAAAACCAAAATATAATTATTATCAAAGAAAGATACTTTTTATGTAAGCCTTATTAATACAAAGCCATTATTACAAGACATAGCAACATTTCCTGAGATTCGTTTTAATTGTTGCCGCCAGTGTTATCGTTTGCGTAATTCAATGTGTCTTTTTTTAATACACGCGATATACATACAAGTAATCTCAGAAAATATTCCAACTATTTTTTATATGAAATAATTTATTAGACAGTTAACAAAGAATTGAGAAATCTTCAAGTTTATAAAGAAATTAATTGGCTTGATGAAATATATATATTTAAAATTTAATAAGAATATTATTAAAATAGTTTACTCCTAATGTGCAAATTATATTTATTTAAAAAATTATATAGATAATAGAGGGTAATAAGTAACAATCTGTAAAGAATTAATTCACGTATCGTCTATATTCAGCCAAAAGTTATTAACTACATTTTTATCTTTTTTTACTTCATTACTCCAAAAAAGCATTAATTAGTAGTATGTTAAAATATTAACAAAAATTATACTTTACCCAAATCTAATTTCTCCCATTAAAAATTTGTTTGACGAATAATAATTCAGATTTGTAAGTTCATATATTGTTTTTTTATACAAAATTTGGTATTTTTTATCATCGTAAAAAAAGTATAAAAAATTTAAGTATAATACTTGATATATTACATAAAATAAACAATTCTCTCTCTGTACAGTTAAAATTCATTACTTCGAAATATTCCAAATATTTGAAACTAGTCCTAAGAAATAGTCCAAGGAATAGTCCAAGAAAAGTTATCCGAATATTTCATGTCAGTTTCTCACTGTAGATACATAAAACGATATTGTCACACAACTTATATTTCTTATGTAAGATTAAACGATGCCACGCAACGCGTGTACGTTGACGATGCTCGCCCCTAAAACAAAACAAAAGCCGAACAATCGAGTTATTACGAGCATATCGTAGTGAAGTAAATTGCCTTCGTGAATTAGATCGCGAGGTAGCATAAACGTCTTCTTGTCACAGTCTCGACACATTGTAATTTAATATTATATCACTCTAGAACGTATTACTTTTCTCTTCGTGCCGTATCTCTTTCATCATCACTATATGAGTCTTGAAACTTTGCAAAAACAACGAAAATTCGAATTTTTTTCGAAGGGCTCGAAAAACACTAGACCCAGCCCCTTTGAACAATATTTTTCTAAGTTAAGTAGATACCAGTATTAATTTTTAATAGCTTAAAAATGTTACTAATTAATCTTGTTACTCTTGGATTATCTTTATTTACTTTGAACTAAAGAGATTTATTTTTAAACCACTCAACGCACAACGACGCGACATACTCGTCCGCATCGCACCGTTGGAAATTTCCATCGCCATTTTCAATTACAACAAAATCTTGATTAAGCAGCTTGATCAGGAAATAAACTATGAGAATAAATCAAGAATAAGGTGGAATTTTTCAAAACACGTTTTCTACCTGCACAGAAAAATAAAATTTTCTGTGATTTTTTTATATTACATTTTCGGAATTTTTTCCAATTCTTACAGTCGTAAATATATGCATAAATAAATTCAACTAGAATGTTTAGACAAGATAAATAAAAATGATTTTCTTGACTGATTTTTCCAAAAATCGTGAATTAAATGATTATTCATTCACATTAATCTTTGAAATGTCTTCATCTGTACAACTATAAAATACATGAGAATAAGTCTCGTTTCTCTGTTCGCAAGATAAAATAGTAAGAAAAGATGATGCTCGGAAGTTGGCTAATTATGAAATTGCAGAGCTTATAACTGACGAAGATGATGTGCGAGAAGTGCCACGTAACTTGTCTCTCGTGAAACAGATAATTTAATCGAAAGAGCTAGCTAGATATTGAAGTTTTTTCAAATTAATCTATATCTATTATCTTATTCATATAATTTTTATAAGTGCTTAAAATTCTTCACGAAATTTCTATTAACGACACTCATTATCTTTCATTTTATCTAACAACGATGCCAACTTTATGAACGAAATATTGCGTAAAAAAAAAAGAAATGAAAAAATTTGCATTAGACACCGTGGTATATACTTTCTAACGAAATAGACGAACACTCGACTATGATAATTATCTTTTGAAAGAAGGAAACACGGTTTTACCCTCCGACATTTTCATCTTGCCCACCACCTCGGTTATAAATTTAACCTCGGTATTCGCTTAAATCGCACAAATAATAAAGCGGACCTTCTCACGGCTTGAAGAACTTTGCATTTTGCAATTGCCTCGATATATCTAATTAGAAGGCACCAAGATAATTTCATTAAGTCTTTTAACTATTCGTTCATCCTTCCTATCGTTGTAATTCAAAACGTATAGCTACAAAAATAAATTGAAAAATTTACCAACAATATTAATACCATGAAATATCTAGAAATTAAAAGTAGTATACATACTACCTAGGTACGATTACATAGCATTGACGTTTACTGTCTACATTCCATACCAATTTGCACATCAAACTTGTAAGACACGAAAGGTACAATTAAACGTCTTTAAATTGATACGAATCGTACTTCGAAAATCCTGGCTTCTTTGTTACGCGAATAAACACATCTGATTCAATGCTAACAATTCTTAGCAATGACTGCTCCTTGTTCTTACCTTTTTCATCATTTTCTTTAAAAGAAAAAGAAAAAGAAAACAAGAATAATATGTGAAAAGAGTTGGTAGTTGTGTAAAAATATATGTTTTATGCAAATAATGTGTGACGTTTCTAACTCGATGTTAAACAGGATATTGAGTAACTGTCGAATCTATTAATATTATTATTAGATACATCTCGAAATGATTTCTCACGTTTGTTATACTTCGGCTTAACTGGAGTAATCGTCTTGTTATGAGTTAAATATAACATAGATATCTCTTCGTGAGAGCGTTATAACGGTCATCCTCTCAAAAGTTCTCTCTTCTAAGTATTTCACAATAAGAAATTAGAAATTATTATTTTCTCAAAAATATAATATACCAACAAAAATGTATTTAACATAAAAGATCCAAGGCTCGCGTATATTTCAATATCAGATTTTATTTTACATTTATTATATTCATGATTTATATTCCAAAATAAGAAAACAAGTAAAAAGGAAGCTTCTGTTATGAAGAAAAAAAAAAAGAAATGGGCCATCGGTCACGCGAGGACGCAGATCATTTCGACAACTCGAAGGACGACGAAAAATAAAAGAAAGGAGAGAGAGAGGGGGAAGGATACGATCGAGGCTTTTGTTTCTCGCTTGGCTAAGTTTTAATGTAGATAAATATACTTACTACACATACGGTCGTTTTATTGGTTGGATCTTTTTCTCCTGCGACCTTGGATCTTGAGAAGGATCCGTTTCAGAGGGATGAGTATTCTCCCCTCTCCTAGTATTTTCCATTTCGTCGATTAATCTAAAGGAAAAAAAAAACTAACTACACGTTCGTATCTGATGGAAGGAAATGACTGTTTTCGTATTCTTCGTAAGAGAGGAAGAATAAAAAAGAAGAAGAACATAGTCGTTGATTAAGCAGCACTGAATTAACGGTCGATCCTTTTAAATGATGAGAAACTTAGCTTCGTTTAAAACTCGCGCCATTTTCACGCCTTAGAGATCGCGTTGTATGATTACGTAACTAAGTACTTACTACGAAAGCATTTAATATTCACAAGAATAAAAAAAAATTAAGAAGAAGAAGAAAGAAAAGGTGGAACGTTACAGGGTAGTAGATCAAACACACGTTATGAATGTTTCCTGAGAATCCGATAGTCCAAGCGCGAAAAAGGTTCGCCCGCGATAAATCATCGCTTTCCGTTTTCTTCCGTATCCTTTTATTTATTCGTTCTATCTCTAATACGAAAGAGACGAACGAATTAGACGATCTTCTCTTTATACGCATAATTCTTTGTAATACTTATGACAATGGCGTAAGTAAGATCTGTTGAAAGTAGTAAATAAAATATCTAAAATATACGATAAAAATAAAGAAAATGATATCGTAAGATGAATGATGTTAGCCAAATCATAATCCCTAAATACTTAATGATTTCACTGACATTAAACCATTTCACCTATACCTCTATTATCATTTTCTTGTAAAATACATTCTTACTCAATTATGCGGTCGGTTGTAAATCAAGAAGTAAATCGGCAGAAGCAATTAAGAAAAATGAGAAAATGATTAATCAAAACGAACAAAAATAATGAAAAAACAGATGCCCGAACGAATAAATGTAATTTCCGTATCGAGAAAACTTGAGGATTCTGAGTGGTCAGGAAGAGGAGTAAGTGGAAGGATACAAGGAGGATAGGGTAGGGGAAGGGAGGCTGGGAGGTTGTAGGAGACTCACGTTTTCACGGGTGTAAGAACACGAAGTAATTGCGTAATAAAAGAATCTGTTGCTCCGCAGGAGGGATTCCTCTATATTCCTCTCTCCAACCTCCCTCCTGGGATCTTCTCTTCCTTCGTTCGTCCGACTTGTGGGAGCCCCAAGAAAGAGGGGCTCTCAAGAACCCCCCCTTTTTCTCTCTTCTCGATCTCTAAAGCCATATATATACCACCACTTCGTGAATCTGTTCTTTGAGGAAGACACTTTGAAGTTATAGCGTCGTCTTCAAATTCGTTATTGGTGAAACGAAAAAAAGAGAGAGAGAAAGAGAAAAAAAAAGAGAGAAAGAGAATCCAGTGTGGCGCGAACCAACCAATCGAAAAACAAATCGCACCAAGATAAATGCCATCCACGTGGAAGGATACTAAGGATTCCAAGGAGAGATAGGATTTTTCCGAAACGGTTCGTCGGCCATTTGTTTTTTATACTCTGACGTTAAACTACCCTTTACTCATCTTACATCGTTTCAACATGAATCGCATATTCATTTTAACTCGAACCAACTAGTCTTTTGTACCAAAAACAATTTCGTTTGGTTTCAAGTTTCATTGTGTTTCATGTGTTCCTTTTTTATTTAGTTATATATTATTCTTTCTTTATCTTTTTTGTTTAACTCACAATCAGTTAAATTATTTGATTAATTATAGATGATTTCGAGATATCAAGTTCTCGCTGCGATCACGCTGCTTACAACTATCTTGTTTTATCGGACGATGGCGGTAAGTAAATTCTTAAAAGAAAAGAAAAATAAGAAAAAAAAATACTAAATGATTACGCGAAATATAATAAACAGTAAACCACAGACAGACATTGATGCGTTTCACGCGTAGCAACGAATTCTCGCGGAACGGTGGAGTCTGAAGGAAAGAAAATAAAAAAGAAAAAGAAACGATCGCTAGTTACGTAATTTGTCAGGCCGCGTTTGTCATAGAAAGGGAGCAGAATCTCATTTGCGAAAGTAACCTATTATATTTAAAGCGCAAAATTATTATTTTCATCGCGCCTTCTCACGACTCGCTATGCAACAATGACAGTGAGCGAATAAGCGGTATCTCGCACGCATCTTCCTTTCGGTTGGCAACATTAAGTAATTCAATAATTAATTCTTCTTACGTGAAGAGGTGCTTTCTAGAGAAACGTCTTGTTAGGCGTATTCAGAATCTCCGAGATAACTACGAATAAAATTCATAAAAAAAAAATGTCTACCCGTGACTGCATAACGTTTCGTGTGTTCTACTTTTTTTCCCGCTTTATTAATAAAAGACGAAAACAAAGCACAATGTACGGCTGATATGTATAACATATTTGCATATATATTAGGTTTTAGGGCTCAAGTAATTTCTGTTTCCGGGATAAAATTGATATGCTAAAATAGAAATTAGATATGACTCTACCTTAGAATATAATATGAATCTTTTAAAAATCATCAACTGTAGAGATACGTATTAACAAAACAAAAAATAAAAAAACAAAAAAGAGAAAATTTAGTTTGAAAATTGAACGACGTTATACCACCGAATGAGTTGTTGCAAAATTGGACGGAAAGTTGAGATAAATAGGGACTCCCATTGTAAACACGAACAACTAAATCCATGAAGTGTGAAGGCTAAAACGTCGCGTGGATCTCGATGCGTGAACGCAGAAAATTTCACCGGATGCGAGGACCACATTGAGAGGAGGTACGAATTTGAGAAGATCGCGAACGAGATTACAAAGAGAATCACCACTCTGACATACAGTGAGTCATAGGAATTATTCGTACCCCTATTGTCAATTTAGAACAATCAATATTTTTTTGAAATAAAATATTTCTAAATTCTTATACACAGAAGCATACTTTAGGATTATTCCACTTTTTAAATTAATATTAATTTTATTGCAAAAGAGCATTTGATTATAAAAAAGTAAAACTGTATATAACTTACACAGAATTTTGTCTTATCAAATATGCTTAATCATCTCAAAAGTATTATAAAATGCAAATAAAGATGAACTAAATACCACATACAAAAATAATTATTGTATTTCTATATCTTATGTAGATACAAATTCCTTTATGAGACAAAAAAATTGTTGATCATTTAAGTAAAATTACATTTCTTTAACAATGAAATGTTCTTCTGCAATCAAATCTATATCAATTGAAATTTTAATAATCTTAAAATAGGTTTGTACGTATAAGAATTTTGAAGTTTTGCATTACAAGTAGATATTAATAATTTCAAAATTTATATTGGAAGCATATATTTCTGTGACTCACTGATGTATAAACGACCATACGATGTGATAAATTCACAAGCAAAAATTCCAATTGCTTTTATTACATTCGAGATGCATAATAATTGATTTTGGTTGTAAAGAGTACAAGAAAATATTAAATTTCGAAAAATAGTACTAAAAATCCAAGGTAAAAAAACCCCAAATTATAAAACATAGTAATACTAACGACGAAATTTAGATTTCCGTTAAATACTTATATACAACCTTGACCAGTTCAGCTGTCACAGCGAAAGACTCGATGATATCTTCTCCTTCTCCCAAGTTTGAATTGGAAACGAAGAATAGAAGAAGCTGGAGCAATGGGGGTACTCATTCGCACGCGAGCACGAGCTCGTAACCGGTAAACAGTAAACAAGAACTCGAATACAAAGGCATGGAGAGGTGCATCCGCTCGCAGAGAACAATGTAATCCGACTTCCGGTCAAGCCGTTGGCATGTGTATACATTGAACTAACTCCGATCCGCCGTGACGTGTCGCAATGGTCTCTTCTTCTCGAGTCGGTTGCGAAAAATTAGTTAATTAGCTCACCCTCTCGCTTTAACATCTCCTTACTCTCTCTCTCTCTCTCTCTCTCTCTCTCTCTCTCTCTCTCTCTCTCTCTCTCTCTTTCTTTCTTTCTTTTTCTCTTTCTCTCTTTCTCTCTATTTTTATCTTTATTTTCCCTACCACTCATTTTATCTTTTCGAGTATCGTCGAGATAATAGAGGAAATGCGATTTATAGCCATGCATTATTCTCGCCTTGAATCTCTTCTAAGATCCACAGGTTCCTTCATCAATGACGATGATATGCAGCGAAAGTAAAGGCGTTAGACATTGCGTTTCGAAAGAATGATAATGATGCAATCCTTATGAGGCTACCCTGTTCTTTTTACCACACCTCTTCTCGTCGTTATTATGAATTTAACTAACGAAAAATTATATGAGAGGAATTTTAAAATATGTCTTCTTACAAATTTTATAATAAAAAAAAAATTAAAAAAAATTATATATGTGTTGTTTTAGGGCACTTATTAAAAGATTAATAAAATTCTTTCTTTTACGAATATAAAGAAGATATTAAAATATTTTTATAGGAAGTTACTTATAAAATATGCAACAGGGGATGTGTTTTGTATATGTGTGTGTATGATGAAATTTGAGATGAATAATCGTATTAAATTTTTAGCAAGTCGATGGGTACACACCTGGTGTCGATTATCCCATCTACAATTCCGTACCATTTGGACTAACCTTTACCTGTGGAGGAAAGTTACCTGGGTATTATGCGGATCCAGAAGCAAGATGTCAGGTCAGTATTAAAAAATTATCATTTTTAAAATAACTTTTATCTCGAAGACAAAAACTGGTATCGTAATTTCTTATAATTATATTATTTATAAATATTAAATTATTTTTTATTTGTTTTCTTTTTTATAGGTATGGCATTGGTGCTTACCAAACGGTCGACAATTCAGCTTCCTTTGTCCTAACGGCACAGTATTTAGTCAAACGGCACGAGTCTGTGATTGGTGGTTCAAGGTAAATTTATAGATATAAAAAATTTATTAAATAAATACGAAAAAGTAAATATTTTTTATTAATTTTTTGTTTTTACAGGTCGACTGTAACGATTCTCCCAGACTTTATGGCATAAACGATGACCTCTACAGAGACGTGAATGGAAACAGGATTTAAATATTGTCAAAGAACTTGACCCGTCTATATATATAGCAATAAGTGTATATTAATAAAAAATCTTTTTCTATAAACACAATACAACAATACAACAATAATACAGTCGGCATTATTTTAAACAAGTTATAGTTATCTAACTTATCGACGTGTGGTATAGAATTTCTCTTTTTTACCCACTGTGCGATGATTTTAATCGAACAAACATAAACTGAAATTCAAAGAACTTGAAAATATTTCTTTCCCAATGTGGATATTAAAACTATATAATAACTTTAATATTTTTATAAACAATAATTTTTTGTTTACCGACTTGTTAGATATAATAATATAAGTCTTATTTAATATTAACATGTATATGTATTTTTTTTTTGTTAAGATTCCAGTTTTTCAATTTTGTAATTTATGTGCCAATTTAAAGTACTACACAGAGAATTTCTCGTCCCACCATCAAAGGTGGAGTCGCCAACTATCAGAATCGAACCCTAGCGATTTCTTGGCACGATTGGATAATAGAAAGTGAACAGTCTCGAAGAACGAACAGCTGATTCTCTCACCGCAATCGAAACTTTGATGCAGGTGTTGTTACACTTTTCCAATCGCATTTCATAGACTCGATTATTCGATTAACTTTTTTATTGTAGATTAATATTAATCGTATTCCAGAAAACGTTCCCGACATTCTCAATCGCAAAGACGGTACTTCCGTTTTCAATAAGTTCATTTTTAATACTCCAAGGACAACAACGTCATTAAAGAGACATGCATTGATGTCAGAACAGGATGATATGGAAATCGGAGTGATTGTTTTTCTTTTTCAAGCATTTTCTTTATAAATTTTATAACAATCCGCCTAAGGCAATGCATAACGAGACATTAAAAACAAAACAAAAAAAGACAGTGAAGCTTCCTGAAATGATAATATCTCTCTTATAACATTTGAATGATTATTATACTTAAATGTCCATCCGTATTTTAAATAACAGATTCTACTTGGATAAGCGATGATAAAAATAAAGAAAGACGGTCATCGATACTAGTCAAAAGATTAAAGTTATCGAGATGTTTGCACGCACCTGTATTCGTTATGAGATAATTGAATCGAGACTCGTCTTTGAATATATAAGGTGTTCTAAGAAATTTCTATACATTAGTAGTCATGATATCGGTAAGGAACCAACAAGCGTTGGCCACAAAATAATTTTAAATCATTTGGAGAAGGCTATATCCTAAATGTAAAAAAAATTTGTCTCTGTTTTAGCATTGAAATTACGAAGAAACTTTTTACTCAATCTAATACTTATATCCTAAAATTAAATGTTTACATCAACCGTTCAAATAATTCAATTATGGCTTAAAAGTAAATTTCAGTTTAGTGAGTTACAAATTATTTCTTTAGTTTAATCATAAGATTATACCTAGAAAGTTTAATAGAAACCTGTTGGAATACCTTGTATAATATAACTGAGAATAGATAAGCCTGTGGGCGTTCTTTACAGCTTGTCTATCGACGAAGTTACATCGTAAATGACATTATGAAAGATTCTCAATATAAATAATACTGAAAAATAAATAAATTTACAGATATTAATAATAATATGAAATGAATAGTAAACAAACTTTTGAACTTCTCTTAAATTTATTTAAATTGACTCGAAGTTCTTATTAGTTGAGACTACTCTATTCTTCCAATCAATATTTAACAATCTTAAAAGATAATGCGAAAAGATCAAACATTTCTTTAACGTAGAAAGTCATTATTTGATATTTAAATCGTGGCAGATGAACACAAAATTGCATCTTATTTTTTTTTAAATCTATTTAACATAGGTAAAAGCACGCAATAGTGAAGGCCAAGTTACTAGAGAGAGCATCTTAAGTCACCTTTTGCCTTGCTTTCATCATTCCCTTTTTTTCATTCTACTAAGAAATCATGAGGTTTTGCGGGTAGATCGTATCGTGAAAGAGAAGAAAAACAATGCGTATCAAAAGAGAGAGAGAAAGAAAAAGAGAAAGAAAGAAAGAGGGAGGAGAGTGTTTCCTTCTTTATCACTCTGGTTTGCTCTCTCTCTTTGATTTTCTTGTTGCACGTCACATTTGCAAATATCAGAGGCGTGTGTATTCAGAGCTATTCGGAATTCTTGACGATCCCTTATTGAAAGATCAATAGACGTATAGATACTCATGCAGAAACTTGGTAGTATTAAATAAATAAGAAAAACAAAAAATAATATTTTCGTATATAAAAGATAAATTTTATATGAAAACAAATCTGAATATACCTCGAATGAAAAATTCATTCTTTGAGAGACTCCCGTGGGCATCCTCAAAAAGGATTGGTTTTTTTTTTAAAGGAGCTAAGGGCATTGAACTGTAAAAAACTGGCTTTCCAATACTTCGGAAGGTTTTTATCAAATAAAATCTTTGTTCGATGAGTAAAAATGTTAGAATAAATAATATGTATATATATTAGGTATGTATATTCTAATACGTATTCTAATATTATTCTAATATGTTATTTAATATATTATATCAAATAGGTATACTTCAACAATGGCATAAATATGTTTACATGATGTAACCTAAGGAATTATTGCAATATATCTCTGTTATTTATGGAAATTTTAGTTCTTGATTTATCAATAAATTACAACTTTTATTTTATATGTTACAAATATATTCAAATACATAATATTATATAAGTTATATAAATTTCAACAAAAATTTATTATTATATATTATAATGAACGATTTTTAATATTTCATTGAATTAACATTTTGTTTAATTACGTCATTATAACATTTAAATATATTGGATATATATGATATTATCATATATTTTATTTAGATATTCCAATGAAATACGTTACTGTTCTTTGTTTAATCGTAATTTTAATTTCTTTTTCGTCCAAATAGGTTTTCTTATTTGACGATCCAATATAATGCAATTTCAAAAATAAAATTAACTATAAAACTAATTTTCACGTCTTGATTGTCGTTACGAATTCGTAGATATAGATTATTTTTATATGATCCATGTTAATTTCTGCAGAAACTCACACCACTTGATGATAAAATTTACCAAACAATGAGAAATTTTTATCTACGATTTTATATTCTATCTATAAAAGAAATAAAATTATAATTCGCCTTAGTTACTGTATATCCATCCTGTATATCATAATATACTATTCTTTATATATATATCACCAATTCTCTATATAATAAATACTATTCTTAAAATAAAACGTGTCAGAGATAATAGACTATTTTATTGTCATTATTACCAGTTACCAACCAAAAAATTATATCAATCAAGTATTTAGAATGTATCAATCTGTTTTCAAATTTTAACGATTCTTAGCATAAGTAACTATCAAGATGGCTATCGATCGTATGAAAATATCGGCGAAGTGGCCCCCGCACATGTCGTTTGCAAGGCGAGCTCTAGCACGTCCTTTTGTCGAGAGAGCACGCGTTCCACTTTCACTTTGTTTCGATAGATATTCGACGATACGATTATAACGTACATTATAAGAGTTTATTTGTATGTGAGCGGGGAAGTCTGCCCTGTGGTTTGCTCTATATCTTCCTTTCTTCTTATTCTGGTAGTAAACTTGAGCTTCTTTCGTTCATCGAATTCTATCTTTACGATTAAAGAAAAAAATGAATCGTAGCCATAAGTCTTAAATCTCTTGATATATTAGGTATAAAAAATTATTCGGTGATCTTTTTACCAAATTTAATGTTATTATTTATTTATAAAGTAATCATACATCTGTTATTATTCGAAATAGTCTCCATGATATTCGATGAATTGGATCCATCTTTCAGACAATTGATGAATTCTTTTGATGATCAAAAAAACATGACGATGAAGAGTTTAATATTTAAGTACTGAATGAACTTTACATCTAATGTAATCTTTCGTGATAGATTCATTGTTGATAAAAGTAGTGGGTGGATCTAATGATTCGTTCGTCAAGTAGCGACACAGGTGTACTCGACTCGAGACGAGGAATCGAAGAAAGGAGTTTGCCTTTCCAATACAGTCAAGGAACTTCAGAAAGGTAATAAGATTCTACGCCATTGGACGAAGTAAGAGCAAAGAAGAGTGGAACGTCAATCGAGAAGGAGTAGGAGGACGCCAATGCAAGTCCGAGTTCCCCTCCTCGATCTTATCCTCGCTGGTAGAAAGCTCAACCAGACCGACGGTGGGCCAAGCGCAACAACGCTCCTGCTGCTGGCTTTTCCACTTCCAGACCGCAGTCTTCTGACTGGACCGGACGCGCGGTCTTGCTTCTATCTCGAAACGTGTGAACTAAAGACATCTTTTACCTTTTTTTTGCTTATAACCGAGTGGACCGGCGTCATCTTCCACCTTTATAAATTTATTCAACAAAATAATATTTTGATTCTTTCGTTTATATTACTTTTATCGAATAATACGTGTGTACCAGGTATAGGGGAAAAAAGAAAGGAGAGAAAGAGTACTCTCTCTCATTCCTGGTGTGCTTTCATGAGAGGACGACGGTGCTTTCATGAGGGATTAAACAGCGAAGAAACAGCGGAGCCGTGAGACCAGGTCGGTGTCTTCAGCGAATTTCACTTATCATTAGTCTACTCTACCTGGGATGTTAAATAAAGAAAAAGAGGGAGAAAGAAAGAAAGAGAGAGAGAGTTAAACAATCTTTTGTGAAGAATAAAAATCAAAGGAAAAGAGGTGACTCGCGGTTAGCAATTGTTGATCAACCCGAACGTTTTTAGGAAGAGTTCGTAAAAAAGAGCACACGACTTAAACGAGTCTAATGAAATTCTATTTTGGATTACCCCATCCGACGGGAGACCGGTATAATCACAGTGTTTATCCTTAAAACGCGCGAATCTCTTAAACGTTTTTCTTCGTGGATTGTAGCAATAATCACTAACTCCTTCGCGTGAGTTTCCGAACGAAACCAAGTAACATCTTTGAAATCTTAGTAACTGCGAATGAAATCCGAGAAAATAAATGATCATAAGTGATCTGTAAGAGAAACTATTTAAAATGAATCGAGTCGGCTATGGGGAAATCCGGGAAATCGAGGATTTGTTATTCATTTCGATCATCTTCCGGTGGAAGCGTGACCGTGATCACGATAAATCAGTTTTCTCAGCGCTAAAAAACGAACCATAATGCTTAACGGATCTTCCTTTTACGCGTCGATCTCTCTTATACATTTTTTTTTATTTTATTAAACAAAGGGTAGAATAGAAGAAAGACAGCTGTTCGTTTCTCTTCTTTCCCTTTTTCCTTTCCTTTACCCTCTCTTTCTCTATTTCATGGAAGACAATCTCCGTTGACTATTCTTTGATTTTAAAAGGAGCCAATTTCGTCATTGATTCTAGCACACGCTCGACTTTCCACTCGATATGCTCCACCCTAGAACATCGTGAATTCGCTTTCTTCTTCTCGAATTCTTTTATATACCTAGTTTCGTTTTAACGAAATCACTAGTTGAGAATCGTTAAAGATTACAGAAGTTCGTAACACCCATTCTCTCTATTTTTTTCTTTCTCTTTCTCCAGCACGTAACTTAGCGTGTTCCAGCACGAAACATGCCTGCTGTTCATCGAACGTTACATGAATTATTTTTTTTTTTTGGTTTTGTACAAACGCTTCGTGACCGAACTTACGTTAACGTCCTAGAACACGTCGACAATCTAACATTAAGGATCGATGAAACCTGATTATTTAATAGTCAAAAATCTCTTTGAGAAATTATCCTAGAGTTCATTAGTACAATCACACACATTCTATCTAACGCGCTAGTTCTTACGCGTCTACGTTCACTTTCGATCGGCGGATTCCGTACGCACGTTCGAAAGTGAATTTAATTTGCGAGGAGCCCGTTAGAGGCGACACGCCTAGTCTCTACGTGTTTTTTTTTATATGTATACTTATATATTATATAGAGGATATCAACACATATCTTGTATAAAATACAGTAAGAATATTCTAATTATACATTACTTATTACACAGATTAATGTTTTCTTATTCATTCAATAAAAATAAAAATATATATGAATGAATATATAGCTATATTATAATTATATTATGATTAACATAATTAAAATAACATTTAAAGTAATACAAATAATTATTACAGTAAATAGAAACATTTACATTTCATCAAATAAGCATTTTTTTCATTTATTTTGTATGTATTTTTTTAAAAGTTTCACCTGCAATATATAAAGAGAAAACATCGAGATATATTTTGTCATATTTTTTATTATGTAAAAACTTTAAGTAGAAATTACAAAAATTCAAAACTAAAAAATCTATCAGCTAACTGCGAACTTACATATATGTAAGCACATTTATAAAATGTAATATACACTTATCCATAAAGAGTAAAGTATTTTAATGGAAATTCCAAGAATATTTAGCTTATCAAAAAATAGTATCTTTCGTTGTGCCTATATTTATCGTTTAAAAAAAAATAAATAATCTTTTAATAAAAAATACGTAAATACCGGAGTGCAAATAAACCAAGAGACATTCATTTGTTCCCATTTTTATTCTCTAACCCGTATATTGTGTAAGTATATATCAGGACAAGCCGAAGGCCGAATGTACGACATTTTTTCGCCGGCTCTCTTTTCATAAACAATATCGCACGGCACGTTGTTACGACACAGAACGGGCTAGCATACTCGTCGGCTTTCTCCAATATACGACGACGGAAAAATAAACCAGCTACTTCACCATAATCAAACGCACCGATAGTTTTATACTTGATCCTATTACATTCGTAACGAGGCTTATCGTTAATCGACCAAAATTTTTAATTGTGTCGACACCTTCGTTTTCTTTTTATTCTAAATTTTCTCTTTCTTTCGCAATTAATCATACTTGTCAATGAGAATAATTCTACGAATAATAATAACATTTCTATAGCAAAACTCTTCATATAAAATTAAACAAATTGACTGTATACATATACGTCAGTAATTAAAATAGACAAAGTCCAAAAATTAAATAAAATTTTTTTTTATTTTTTTTTTTTATAATATAAATTAAATTATAAAACAAATTTTTTTATTGTTTTTTGTATTCTACTACCATACCGATACTTATATATTACATGTTGGTTTTATTAATTTATTTAAAAACTTTCACACACTCGATCATACGTCGATCTATTATGAAGATCAAAATTCAATTTGAAACTCCACTTCTTTAAGTCTACCTACCCCTTACTTTGAAATATCAAATATGCATCCCTTATCTTGTGAAAGAAAAAGAGAGGAGATTAAATTTTACATATGTATATACATGTTGTAATAACGGATAGTTCATATAGGAAAAATGATTGATCGATTATCAGAATATCGATAAATCTTTTTGATCGTAAATTCCGTTTAAATTAAGTACAATGACTCGTTTCGTACTATATCTACACATCGCTTGGTCGCATACTAGCAGAGAAATAAGATACTTATGAGATAGATACAATGTTACGTAAACGGTCCTATATACTTCTTACACCTTCTAGTCGGTGTAAATATAAAACATTTATCTTTTTCAAATCATACAGACTCCTATCGATAAAACATTCATTTTTGGTACGCATTTATATAACCATCCAATCCATTTCACCAATCCTTCGCAGAAATTCTACAGAGTAGATATTTAACGTATATGCATATGTACATATATATAATGTATTTACATGCATATATACAATCTTAAAACACCTACCTATGGGAAAGACAAATCGAGAATTACGTGGAACGAGCGAAGGGCTTATAGAGCGCTGGATAGAAAATTATGTTCAAGGTGGGTCACCGATGAAAGGAATTTACTTTCGAGATTGTACCGTCTACATTTTACAAACTACTCTATACATACATATAGAATACCTTTGAAAGAATATATATTTATATTAACGCGAAATCTATTTATTCATGAAATTACCACCTACACTATGAAATAACTATACTGATTTGTTAAAATATAAGATAAGATAGAATTACATACTTTCTTTAGGCAATATAAAAATTCACAAGAGGCGAGTAGTTAAGACATGAAATTAAAATTTGATTTTTAAAGTACAGAAAGAGATAAGAACAGATAACTATGAGCATTATTGTAAAAAAATAAGCCAAATTTAAAGATGAATCAAATTTCAATATCATACTCTAACTACTCGCTTTTCGGAAATTCATATTTTATTAATGTAAGTTATTTTATAAAATAAGTAGTTTAAATATATACTAAATTCTTTTCGTATGCTTTTATTAAAGCGCCTAGTTATTTCATATAAGACCTAGGGTTTCCACGATTTAACTGAATTATTACAATTTAACGCTGATATCTATACATATACATAGATTTATATATATACATCTCTTCGTGGTTTTCAAGAAGTTAGTTTGCAACGATACCAGTCGAACGACGTTCCTGCTCGGTTCAAGGATCACTTGTATTCGCTCCCAAGGACACGTACTCTCAGGAACAAGACAACAACGACAAAGAGGACGACCCTACGAATAAGAAGAAGTTTGTGGTTAACTTGAGGTCAAAGAACCGCGACGGGAACTCTCTCGAAAGAATCATCGTGAGACGCGTAATGATCCAGTACTAATCGTACGGTGCAGTTGGTAACGACAAACGATCGTTGTTGGCAGTGAAAAGTAAACTTGTCATATGATATACATATGTATTAATATACTTATGTATTTCGCGACATAGGTGATTACCTTTAACGAGCGTATCCGCCATTTCCCCATATACATATGTGTGTATGTGTATATAAGTTTTCCATTCTTTTTATTCTTTCATAGTCAGACGACAGAATCAAGATTGAAATTATAATCAGTGATTTATTCGCTTAATGTATAGACCTATTGAAGGTTAATAGAATGTAAAGAACATTCGAAATGGATGGCAGAAATAATTGAGCCAATCATTTCCGAAATCGATTAACTTTAAAAAATAAACAGTATCATATTGATGAAATCATATAAATTGTTATTTTATTAATAATTCAATGATAATCAAAATTATTGTTGTTTAGAGATACTGAACCTAATACTAACCTAAATATATATATATATATATAGGAAATTTATTTGAAATATAAAAATTTAAGCATCATTTAAATAAAATAAGATATTAAAATTTTATTCAAAATTTAAAAATAAAAAATGTTTAAAAACAGAATGGTAATCATTGTGAACAAGCACAAACAAAATTTAGGTTAACAAATTTCTTGCTAATCATTTAAAAGACTATCATTTGAATATAGAAATAAAATAAATGAATACAATTTGCATTCATTCATTCATTTACACATCTATTGTAAGAGGAAAGAAAGACAAAAATAATCAAGATTATCTCTTCCGGAAAGTAACTTTCTCGTTGATTTAAATTCTTTCAAAAGTCGAAAGGGTTCATCGTCCGTAAATTCTAATCCTGTTCTCATAAAAAAAAGAGCCAGGGTAAAAAAAGAACTAACGATTTCATTTTTCGTTTTAATCGCCATCGGCGATTCGCTCCAAATCCGATTTCTTTTACAATGTAGCCATACTCAATCGA